GCGTTTGCCTTACATATTGCAGTGCTCCTATGTTGGGTGCATATATATTTATAATTGTTATATCTTCTTCTTGGATTGATGCTTTGATCATTATGTAGTGTCCATCTTTGTCTCTTTTCACAGCCTTTATTTGAAAATCTATTTTATCTGATATGAGTATTGCGACTCCTGCTTTCTTTTGGTCTCCGTTTGCGTGGAATATTTTTTTCCAGCCCTTCACTTTTAGTCTGTATGTGTCCCTTGTTTTGAGGTGGGTCTCTTGTAGACAGCATATATAGGGGTCTTGCTTTTGTATCCATTCAGCCAGCCTTTGTCTTTTGGTTGGGGCATTCAACCCATTTACATTTAAGGTAATTATTGATAGGTATGGTCCCGTTGCCATTTATTTTGTTGTTTGGGGTTCACGTTTATACCACCTTTCTGTGTTTCCTGTCTAGAGAAGATCCTTTAGTATTTGTTGAAGAGCTGGTTTGGTGGTGCTGAATTCTCTCAGCTTTTGCTTGTCTGTAAAGCTTTTGAGTTCTCCTTCATATCTGAATGAGATCCTTGCTGGGTAGAGTAATCTAGGTTGTAGGTTATTCTCTTTCATTACTTTAAGTATGTCCTGCCATTCCCTTCTGGCCTGAAGGGTTTCTATTGATAGATCAGCTGTTATCCTTATGGGAATCCCTTTGTGTGTTATTTGTTGTTTCTCCCTTGCTGCTTTTAATATTTGTTCTTTGTGTTTGATCTTTGTTAATTTGATTAATATGTGTCTTGGGGTGTTTCACCTTGGGTTTATCCTGTTTGGGACTCTCTGGGTTTCTTGGACTTGGGTGGCTACTTCCTTCCCCATTTTAGGGAAGTTTTCAGCTATTATCTCCTCGAGTAACTTCTCATGGCCTTTCTTTTTGTCTTCTTCTTCTGGGACTCCTATGATTCGAATGTTGGGGCGTTTCACATTGTCCCAGAGGTCCCTGAGGTTGTCCTCATTTCTTTTGATTCTTTTTTCTTTTTTCCTCTCTGCTTCATTTATTTCCACCATTTTATCTTCTAACTCACTTATCCTATCTTCTGTCTCTGTTATTAATTGACTTTTAAAAATTTCTTCTAGGTCCTTGTTAAACCTTTCTTGCATCTTCTCAATCTTTGTCTCCAGGCTATTTATCTGTAACTCCATTTTGTTTTCAAGATTTTGGATCATTTTTATTATCATTATTCTAAATTCTTTTTCAGGTAGATTCCCTATTTCCTCCTCTTTTGTTTGACTTGGCAGGCTTTTTTCATGTTCCTTTACCTGTTGGGTATTTCTCTGCCTTTTCATCTTGTTTAGATTGCTGTGTCTGGAGTGGGCTTTCTGTATTCTTGTGGTCTGTGGTTCCTTTTTATTGTGGAGGTTTCACCCAGTGGGTGGGGTTGGACGACTGGTTTGTCAAGGTTTCCTGGTTAGGGAAGCTTGTGTCAGCGTTCTGGTGCGTGGAATTGGATTTCTTCTCTCTGGAGTGCAATGGAGTGTCCAGTAATGAGTTTTGCGATGGGTCTTTGTGTTAGGTGTGACTTTGGAGAGCCTGTATGTTGACACTCAGGTCTATGTTCCTGCGTCGCTAAAGAATTTGCATGGTATGTCTTGTACTAGAGCTTATTGCCTCTTGGGTGGTGGTTGGTTTTAGTGTAGGTATGGAGGCTTTTGGATGGTCTCTTATTCCTTAATGTTCCATGTAGTCAGGAGTTTTCTGGTGTTCTCAGGTTTTGGTCTTAAGTCTCCTGCCTCTGGATTTCAGTTTTATTCTTCCAATAGTCTCAAGACTTCTCCAACTATACAGCACTGATAATAAAACTTCTAGGTTAATGGTGAAAAGATTCTCCACCGTGAGAGACAACCAGAGAGATTCACAGAGTTACATGAAGAATAGGAGAGGGAGGAAGGAGATAGAGGTGAGCAGGAGGAGAAAAAGGGGACTCAAGAAGAGAGAGACAGATCTACGCAGTTATCTGTTCCCAAAGTGTTCTCCGTAGCCCAGACACCCATAAAGATTCACAGAATTGGATTGGGAAGAGAAGGGGAAAGGAGGAAATAGAGGTGTTCTGAGGTAGAAAACAGAGAGTCAAAAGTGGGAGAGTAATCACCACACTCCTGAATAGAAATGGGAACTGAATATTGGATTCTTAAATGTCCAAAATTTATATCACATACTGAAAAACAAAGATTAAAAATCTAGTGTAGAGGTTAGACTCTTTGAAATACAATATTTAAAAACAAAAACAAAAACACACAAAAAATTTAGAAATGTATATGAAGTTTGGTTTAAAAATAGGGTTTCTCTCTCTTTTTTTTTTTGGCAAGGTTATAGTGAAATGAAAATGAAAATTAAGGAATAATAGAGGAGTATTAGAGGACTTTAAAAGGAAATAGAAGAGAAAAACAAGAAAAAGAAAAAAAAAAGAGAAAAAAATTTTTTCCCCCTAATTAAAGAAATCGTAAAAATATATGAAAATGAAAGTTGAGGAGTAATGGGGGAGTAATAGGGAATTTTAAAAGAAAATAAAAGAGAAAAAATAAAAAATAAAAAAAAAGGAAAGAAGAAAAAAAAATTTTTTTTTTTAATTAAAAAAAAAAACATATATATCTAGGAATTTGTCTGGAGTTGTTGCGGTCAGTGTAGGTTCAGTTCAATTTCAGATAGCTCCTCTTTCCAGCTTACACTTCTGGATATCTGTAGGCCCCTTCCGGTGTAGTCGGTGTTACCTTCAGGGATTTGTTGCACCGGTCCTTTCTGAAGCGGTTCCCTTTGTTTATTTGGCTTCTGTTTGCCGTCTCTTCGGTGTCTAATTTCTGCCCTGACACAGGCGGGCGGAGGTGATCTCTTATTTAGGTTCGCTGGTTCAGTTCAGTCCTGCTACGGGGAGGGCAGGGCGCTGCAGACAGATACCGCTCTGTGTGGATAGCACTCACCGTGTTCCGGTCACACTGGGTTTGCCCCGCTAACGGGCGTCAGTGCTTTCCCCGTCTACACTGCTCAGGCTCCGGGCTGCTCTATATGGAGCGGACCCTGCGTTGAGTGCGGTTCCAGTTTTCGGGTACTCCACAAAAGCGCGGATTCGGTTGCGCCTGCGTTTTGTGCCTTCCCCGGCCTGAGCGGTTCAGGCAGCCAGAGGCTTGGGCGCACTCTCCCCGGGTGCGGCGCGCCTTTTCCCTCCGCGGTGAGCGGCTCAGGCAGCCAGAGGCTTGGGCGCACTCTCCCCGGGTGCGGCGCGCCTTTTCCCTCCGCGGTGAGCGGCTCAGGCAGCCAGAGGCTTGGGTGCACTCTCTCCAGGTACTGCGCGCTTTCCCCCTCCGCGGCCCCAGCGCGCGCCGCCAGTCGGGTCTCAGGAAGTCTTTAGATAGGAAACGGGGGCCTGTTTGCAATGTGGGAGGGGGTGGCTTCTGAGGGGCTGAGTTTGCCCTTTTCCCCTCCCCCCTGCCTCCTACCTCCAGCGGGGATGGGCCGGCTCTTCTCTGGAGTTTCTCAGTCCCTTTGTTTTGCGAACCGCAGGCAGTGTGTTCCGGCCGGTTAATTTTGTCCCATAGTTTAAAAAAAGCTCCTTCCGATTGCTCTCAGGGCCTTCGGGCCGGTCCTTACCCTAAGCAATGCCGCCCGCTCCTCTCCGTTCCGCCCCCGCTTGTTGCTGGCGGGTGCGGGCATCTGGGGTACTTTTCTGCTGGGAGTTGCTTTTAGGCACGTAATCTGTGGGCCTTATTTAATTTTTCCTCCCAGTTAGATTGCCAAAAACTTCCCCCAGTCCCGCCAGTGCGAGGGTTTCCTGGTGATTGGAAACTTCCTCTATTAAGACTCCCTTCCCGGGACGGGTCTCCGTCCGTAGCTCTTTTGTCTCCCTTTTTATCTTTTATATTTTGTCCTACCTCCCTTCGAAGACAATGGGCTGCTTTTCTGGGCGCCTTATGTCCTCTGCTAGCGATCAGAAGTTGTTTTGTGAAATTTGCTCAGCATTCAAATGTTCTTTCGATGAGTTTGTAGGGGAGAAAGTGGTCTCCCCGTCCTATTCCTCCACCATCTTGCCTCCTGTCCTCATCATGGTTTTGATTTGCATTTCCCTGATGTTTAGTGATGCTGCACATCTTCTCATGTGCCTATTGGTCATCTGCATTTCGTCTCTAGAGAAACGTCTATTTGGTTCTTCTTCCCATTCTTTAATTGCATTGTCTTTTTGATGTTGAATTGTATGAACTGTTTATATATGTTGAGTATTAATCCCTTATAGATCATATCATTTGAAAATATTTTCTCCCATTCAGTGGGTTCTTTTCATTTTGTTAATGTTTCCTTTGCTGAAATGCAACCAATTCAGCATGCTTCTACACAGAAGCATTTTAAATTGACACCAATGAGAATATATTTAGGAAGACCAATGATTCCTTAGCAAAATGTTGATCAAATGGCAGGAAAAAAAAAAAAAAACTATCTCTTATTATTTTAAACTTAGTTTCTAGAAAGCAAACACATGCTCTTGACAAAAAACTACCTGCACAAGTAGAAGTAATTCTTCCTACAAGATAAATGATAATATATGTGTAGGTTGTTTATTGTAGTATTGCTCGTCCTAGCAAAAGATTGGAAACAAACCTAATCAGTTGAGGCTAGTTAAGTAAATTGTGGCACTTCCACTTAAAGGAATCCTATGTGCCTGAAAAAAGGGCAAGGATGCCCTTAAAGAACTTGTAGGAAAAACTAGGATATATGGGGAGAGGTGCATGTTGAGTGGGATATGTATTCTTATTTTCATTAAGAAATAATGGAATAATATAAGATAAATGAATGAAAATGGTAACCAATATAATACGTAGGTAAGGAGCAAAATGAAGTGAATGGGACCAGAGGTGGAAGTTACTTTTCACTGGATACTGTTTTACTGTACACTGTTCAGAATTTTTGAACCATATGAATATGCTGCCTTTTACAAAAAAGCTTTAAATTAAATTGAGTATCTTCTTGGGCATAAAATGTCCTCTCTCTATTCCATAGATTTGGCTGGAAAAACAGAACTTGAACAATGTCAAGTGGATGCAATTGTGGACACACTGGATGATTTCATGTCTCGTTTTCCTTGGGCAGAGAAAAGACAAGATATAAAAGTAATGTGATCAGTTTGCTATTAATCATATCCGTTTTCCAAGTGTTATGTTAGGTGCTTTTAAAAGTTCCTTTTTATCAAAGTAAAACATACCTCTAGTTTTAAAATATCATGTTATCGTAAAAAGTTTAAAACAAAGTACTACAGTGATTCCCACCCTACCTCTTTGTATTAACCCTTCCTCAGGTGCAGCCCTCATTTTAACACTTTTAGCTGTTTCTTTAGGATTTAGACATCTCCATATAGGATATGTAAATATGGCTTTCCCTGATTCACAAATTTTAGATAGTTTTGATAGGCTTAGGAGACTAATGAGAATCTATCTCCTATGTAGTCATTCTGATTCCCTTCTCCCAAACTCCTAATATTAAAATTTTGTGGTGAAATCGGTAGTCATTACATTAGAATGTCTACGAAAATAGTGTACAGAACTGTGCATTGTGGTATACTTTGATTATATTTCCTTTCTCACTTTCCTCCTCAAAGTAGTAATTACCGTTTTCCATTTGCTTCTTTTTCACTTTTATTGCTGAACCTTCCCATACTACCCAATGGCCTGCCAATACTGTATTCCACAAAGTCAATGATATCAGATAATCTGTTGTTTCCATTATTTCCTTGGAGATTTCCAGCCAGAGATTGCCATTCTCCTTTGGAGAGCTGTCTAGGTTTCTGCACAGCTTTCATCATTGGACTTCCCTTCACTGCCACCCCAGGAATATCTTTTTCTCGAGCTGGAGTCCTGTTTCCTGGATGCTTTCCTCCGTTTTTATTTACTCCTTTGTTTACTTGAGGCACATCCCCAGTATTCATATCTTTTATCATCAAGGCTTCTTCATTTTAAATATTGGAAACTGTTATCCTCATTTTCCAGATGAAGAAATGGAGGTTCAAGTAGAAGTGTAAATAACTTGCCTAAGGTTATTTAGCTGGTAAGTGGTACATGAAGAATTCAAATCCCAGACACTGTGGCTCAGACTCCACGTTCTTAACCACTGAGTGTAATGTCACAGGGCCAGCAGCTATTCAAAACAGCTGTGCAGGAGTATTTATTATGTACATGTTATAGCTTAAGTGAAGTGAAAGCGTTAGTCGCTCAGCTGTGACCGACTATTTGTGACCCCATAGACTGTAGCCTGCCAGTCTCCTTTGTCCATGGAATTCTCCAGGCAAGGATACTGGAGTGGGTAGCCATTCCCCTCTCCACGGGATCTTCCCCACCCAGGGATAAAACCCGTGTCTCCTGCATTGCAGGCAGATTCTTTACCATCTGAGCCACTAAAGAAAAGCTACAGCACAGAACAAATGGCAGTTTATCAGTTTACTTAAGCATATTTACTTGGAGAAGGAAATGGCAACCCACTCCAGTATTCTTGCCTGGACAATCCCATGGACAGAGGAGCCTGGTGGGCTACAATCCATGGGGTCACAAGAGTCAGACACGACTTGGCGACTAAACCACCACCACCACCATTTATTCTAAATAGCATTTGTTTGATTAGGACCCTCTGATTTAAACAGAGATATTTGGGACATAAAAGCATTCACATTTACTGATTCCTTGATATAAATGTAAGGTGTGTGGGGAGATACCCACACATGCATATATATACACACATACTTGACTAACCAGAGCAAAGTCTTAAATAAAGGCTCAGCTTTGATGACAGAAACACATTTGGGCTCTGGAGTCAGACTGCCAGGCTTGAACCCTGATTCTCTTTTCACCAGTTGTCACTTAACTTCCTGCCAAATTTTCATATTCAATGTCTGCAAAGTAGGGATAGCATACAATCTACTTTGAAGTATGAGTCGCTCAGTCGTGTCCGACTCTTTGCAACCCTGTGATCTGTAGCCTACCAGGCTCCTCTGTCCATGGGATTCTCCAGGCAAGAATACTGGAGTGGGTTGCCATTTCCTTCTCCAGGGGATCTTCCAAACCCAGAGATCGAACCTGTGTCTCCTGCATTGCAGGCAGACGCTTTACCCTCTGAGACACCAGGGAAGCCCACTTGAAGTATGTTGGGGGGATTAAATAGTAGAATAAGTATCCATAGCGAGGTGGAAAGTGTTTACTAAATATTAGTTATTAATAGTATTATTATACACTTCAGTGCTCATCATTTTTCCTTTTGTCAGACATGACATCTACATTTCACATATCCTTATACATGTAGAAACAAGCAGATATATAATCCTCAACTTGGAAAAAAAAATTTAAAGGTTTTTGTCCCATGTTGGCTTGCCTTTCTCTATTTCTCTACTTTGTACCTTTCTGTGATTGAGGCTCCATAACAGAAGCAATCTACCAAAGTAACATGTCTTTGAACATTTATGATGACAGTAACTTTACCTTTGTGTTAGAATAAGAATGCTTTTTCATACTACCTACCACAAAACAAAACAAAACAAAACCCAACATTTACAGGACATAATTCAACTTTGTGAATAAATCATATGAAGGGACAATGTAATTCAGAATTATTGCAAATAGCCAGACTATCGGATTATCTGATTAGTAAAGTAGAACTTGACCAGAACACAGTGAAAAATAACACAGTTCTTTTGTATCTTGTCACTTGGTCTCTGTAGTGGTTGCATTGCTGCCACCTTGTGGTCAGGTAAAATTTTCAAAAGCAGACTCCTGAAAACAGTCAAGATTAAAAACAGTCAAAATAGCCCTCTTATTATATGTGCTTCAAATAAAATTTATCAACATTTGTTTAATTATAAATGTATAAGTGATAAAAATTCCATTTCTAATTTAAAATTTAAGAAAGTTAAACTTACAGGCAAAATTTGTCTCTGAGCGTTGGTCACACTGAAAATCCTTGAATGTATCACTAGAATTTCTGTGTTTATACAATGCATTTGTTTCCGCTCTCTCATCTGAAGAACAAGGCAGGGGTTTGTGGGTGGGGGATGAAGGGTAAGCAGGACTGAAGGAACATCAGTGGCCCATTTCCAAAATAAATGATTTTTGTAAGTGTGGATTTTAAAATGGTACTTTGGAGAAATACTCAAACCTCCCTAAATCCTGTAAAGGTTGTTTGATAGAAAACTATAGCAATAACTTTCCAGTGTACGCAAATTTACACAATAACTCCGGAGAAGGAGGTGGGAAATTTCTGAGTCCATCATGTCTAAGAATGGCTGTCGAGGGTTTATCAGAAAATAAACCTTAAAAAGGATGTGTGACAACATTTTTGGGCTTCCTGGTGGCTCAGATGGTAAAGAAGCTGCCTGCAATGCCAGAGACCGTAGCGAAGATCCCCTGGAGGAGGCCATGGCAACCCACTCCTGTATTCTTGCCTGCAGGATCCCCATGGACAGAGGTGCCTGGTGGGCTACAGTCCATGGGGTCACAAAGAGTTGGATACGACTGAGTGACTAAGCACAGCACATAAAAACATTTTATCTTCTTCAGGTTATTCTGGTGAATATTCTTTAAAATGACTCAAAACACAAATGGTTATGCTGTTGAGCAATCTATATTCCATGAGACTGAGATGATTCTCACCACAGACAATAAGAGAACCGAGGTGAAAGGAGAAGTCAAGAGTGTAGAGATAAGATTTTCATCTGGCACTGCATATGCCAAGCACTGGTGCCTCTTACATTGTGGAAATGCACAGAAGGAAAAGCAGCAGAATTACCCAAGTGAGCACACAGGCATTTGTGGAAAGTTGTACGGCATCTACATCCTGTCCCACTGAACTCTCTCCTCTTTCCAGCTATTCTAGGACAGCCAAGCTGGCTAGTGCCTCCCCGAATGATGCTGAGCTAAGCTAAGTTGTGGGAAATGTCACGTTTCTGGGTCTGTTGCCTCTCAGCTCACAAATTTTGTATAAGGGGCTAAAGAACTCCCATTATTTTTAGAACCATGAATATATTTACCATAGAGAGAGAACCATGTGTACAAACGTGGTACAGAGCCATGGAAAGCATATAAAATCAAAATAATGACAAGCTTCCCAACCTTCAGTTTGTGATATGTGACAAACATATGTAAAGGTGTAACAAAGGTTTTATAAACTGTACTCCTCAATATGAGGCATTATATTATAATAATCTGTACTACCTAGCTAAGTCACAATAGTAACTCAAGTGAATTGATGAAGGAGTTATCCACTATTTTGCATTAATAAAGGTGGAATTTTATTATGGGTCATTTATGAATATTGATGATATATGCATACTTTATAGTATTTTTGAGTTTAGTTTACATTTCATATCCACAATACAAACCAGCCCAATTTTCATATATAAACAAATAAACAATTCCTACCAAGAAAGACGCCATGAATAAATTATTTGTTCTTCAGAGATTTAAGTAAAAACAAAGATAATTATTTAAGTGGGTATATTTGTTCATTTTTTCCCCAAGGATATTATTTGCTTTGTAATAATATCTTACATATTATATCAAAAGGGGACACTTCGATGATGGATTTTACAGATGATATTCAAGGCAGAGAATCTCACTCTAAGGTACAATGTTAAGTCAAAGAGAGGAAATTCATAAACGCTCAAAAGCATAATACTTCTGTTAAGTGTTAAGACTGCCAAACTGGAGGAATCTAGCCCAAGAAAATAGAGTTAATTTCTTTACCTTTACTTACACTATTTAACTTTAAAGGGAGTGAGCCCAAAAAGGTGGGAGGATTTTAGAGATGTAAAAAAATAGAATAATTTTCACTAACAAAAATTAGGATTAAAAACTATGAAAAGATTTTACTGATGAATGATTTAGTCATGATAAATAAAAAAAACCATAAGAACTGATGACAAAAATGTAATCTATTTCCTCTTCAACTCTTTTTCTTCCTATTACCTTTAGAGTGATCTTTCCTCTCTCCCCTAGAATCAGATATGTAAGGAGCTACTTACATGTGATGCACCTCCTCTTCTGCAAAATTTGGACACATACTTAGGGGAAAACAAGTGGTTTATTGGTGACTCTGTGAGTATGTTTTACATCTTAAAAAATGCATGTACATATATATGGATAAATAAAAAACTATAAAAATGTACTGAAAAAAGTGTTACCCATAGGGAAGAAGTAGGTTAGAGAAGTAGGAAGTAGGTTAGAGAAGTAGGTTAGAAGGACAAAAGCTAAACTTCCTTGAATAAACCTTTCTTGGTGATGTTAACTTTGGGAAAACATACTAAAGTATATGTTATATAACAATAACAAAAATTTAAAAAGCTATCACTGACAAACTACAGTAAAGTGAAACAAATGAACTTGTGTCAAACTGGTGAATAGAGTATGTGGAGAAATACCTCTGTACTCTATTAGTAAAAAACTAAGAAAAACATCATCATTGGTAAAACACAGTGATTTGACTATACACATCTCATTATAAATATTTTCTCAGGGCAAACAATATTAATCATATGCCAGTTTCAGTTCACAATGTACTTTATTTTAGGGTAAAGAGAAAAGGCATTCTGTGTCTTTTTCTTGAAAAAATGACCGACTTACTTGTCCTGGGCAACCCTAGGACCCAAATCCTTGTCTCTAAATTCTAAAAGTAACTAGTTTCTTGGAGAAACAGCTCATTCTCAGTTTGGGACAAGAAATGTAAAACATGAGCTGGGAATACTTTGTTATACAAGAACCAAATTAATTATTAAAAAAAAACCCAAAATTGGGAGTTGTGTCAAAAGGACCTAGAAGGCAACTTGTAGACACTCTCACTGGCTAAAGATGAGCAAAACTGTCTTAACACAAAACCTTTATAGTAAAGTACTGAATGTCTCATGTAAGTATTGAACACTGTAGTAAAAGTCAAAAACAGGATGGCTGTATGGGTAGAGAATGGTTGTTAAGTATATCAGTTGTTTACCCTCCTGATCACACGGTTCACTGCCACAGCCCAGCATCACACGAGAGTTCTATACGGCATATCACTAGCCTGGGAAAAGGTCAAAATTCAAAGTGTGGTTTCTAAAGAATACTTATCATTTTTGCACCACAGTATAGTCAAAAAATTGTAAAGCTGAACCATTGTAAGCCAGAGACAGACTGTCTATATTCAGAAAACTGAAAAACACAAAGTGTGTGTATATGTGTGTTGTGGCGGGGGGGGGGGGCGGTGTTGAATAAAGCATTTATCTTGCCATTCTTATGCCAATTAAACCTCAAGATAAAAAAAAAGATGGGACAAAGTTTGTATTCATAAGTTTCTTAGTTAATAAGTAAGGCGAGATTAAAATAAACCATCGCTATCTTCCAACCCATGATGAATCAATAGATCTAAGCACTGATTATCAACAATTGTTAATATCACAAAAGAGAGAGAACCAGATATTATATGGGCCTGCTAATAGAGGAGCACACCGTCACCTATGAAGTAGTCTTGCCAAGAAAAAGTTCAAATCTAAATCTGATTGAGAAGCTGTGTTAAGTTGGGGCACCTGCCTTCAACGAGACACCATTCTAGGAGACAAGATACTGCTTTTTGCCAAACTTTGGGACTTACTCTAGTTGCTATCTGCTGAGTCCTGAAGAGACAGAGAAGCAAACTTGCCATGTCTTTTGTTCCTTCTCTGCCCTATTGATTGAACAATTTCTAATGACTTAAAAATATTTTTTTTCTGCTTTTTATTAAAATTTCTTCATAATCTATCTCCTGACTCCATCTCTCAGCACTTTCTCCCTTCCTCCAAATGTTCCAAACACTCTGGTGTTTTGTTTTCCCCTTAGATACAAGTCATACTCCTGCCTGAAAGCCTTTACACTCGCTCTTCCTTCTGCCTGAAATGTTTTAATTCCCAAATCACTGCACATCTGAACCTTATCATTCAAGCCTTAGCTTAATTGTCACCTCTTAAAGGACTTCTCTAACCACCTGAGAACCTCTCTTATCACTGTCTTCATCACCCTTATCACTTCACATGGATTTTGTTTTTTGTTTCTTAATTGAAGTACAGTTGATGTGCAACATTATATGTTACTGGTATACAACATAGTGATTCACAATTTAAAACTTATACTCCATTTATAATTATTATATAATATTGGTTATATTCCCTGTGTTGTACAATAGTTCTTTATAGCTTATTTTATACATAATGGTTTGTATGACTTAATCCCCTCTCCAATACGTAAAAGCAGGAGTAGGGAACACTTTCTACCAGTGTCCATGTGGTAGAAAGCTCCCATATACGGCTGCTGCCAGTTTTTCTGTTCCTAGCACGAACATAGAGGACAAGCATGAGCCACAACTTCCCTCCTGCATCTCTGGAAGACTTTTCAAGACCAGTGGATAAATCTTCCCCAGGCTCCTATCAAAGTGCTGATTCTGCCCTGGATCCTGGTGTGAGATCATGTGTGTCCCCTTAAGAGTAAAGTTTCTATTTCCCCCAGTTGTTTGAAAACTTCCAAAATCAAACTCCGCTGGTCTTCAAAGCCAAATACTCTGGGGTCTTGTCTTCCTGGTGCAGGACCCCTGAGCTAGCGGCCCTGACTTAGGGCTCAGAACTCACTCCTGTGGGAGAACCTCTGCAGTATGTTTATTCTCTAATTTGTTAATTATCCCCAGCAAGATAAGGGACTAGATTAATTATATTATGAATCTGCCCCTCCTACCTGTCTCACTGTAGTTTCTTCTTTATGTCTTTAGTTGTAGATCTTTTCTGGTAGATTCTGGTCTTTTTCATTGATGGTTGTTCTGCAGACACTTGTGATTTCTGGTGCACTTGTAAGAGAAGGTGAGATCAGGGAGGCGAGTTTTCTACTCCACAATCTTGGCCGATCCCCTGCACCACACTTTCCATGTTTGATTGTCTTCCTGCTTCTAAAGTGAGAACTTCATCAGAGAAGGGTCTTGCATCACATCTTGCTCTCTAGTCAATCCCAGCACTTAACCTGTACAGGGCACATAGTAGGTACTTCATAAATATTGGTTGACTGAATTCTGAATCCTCTAACCAATAAACTGTCCTATTAATGTTGAAGATGTTAAGTGAGCAAGTTCATAAAACACTAGCAATCTGCATTATTAAATCCCAAACAAAAGCAAAACTAAGAACAGTCCATATTTAAACTTTACTCTTTGATTGACATTTATATGGAGCCAAAGTAACTTCATCCAAATTAGTTTCTAGTCATAAAGGAACAAAACAAGTGTACAAATTAAAAATAAAAACAAACAAAAAAGGTATACAAGAGTAGGACTAGGCTGTCATTGTCCTACTGTACAGTGGCCAGTTATACTAGTGGTCAGACATATATCACGTCTTCTGATGTGATCCAGTATATATGTTATGTTAGCCAAAAGTATTTAACTTAAAGCCATGTACTCTCTAAAGATAACTTGTACTCTATTCCTTTTTACTCTGCCATATAAAGGAACAAGGTAAAGATGAAATAATTATAAAAATCCTGAAGGCAAGGACATTGTGCAGAACTAGTGTGGAATCTTCAATAAATAATTCAATGATATGGAATAAAAAAGTGGGGGGGGGGAGTACTGTTCTGAATTGAGAGTTAAAGGATATAACCAAGTGAAACACATGGGCCCAGAATGGATACTGCTGCTTTGTCCTATAAAAGACATTTGGGGAACAGATGGAAAAGCATTGATAGGGTATTAGATAACATAAAAATGTATTGTCACAGAAAGGTGGAGACTGAATCAAGTTACAAAAGACTATGTACTATAATATCTCATTTTAGTAAAAATACACACATATGCATAGAAAAATAACCTTATACCGAAGTGTTAATATGAGTAACCTCTGGGCTTGGGAGTATGGTGTTATCTGTAATTTTCTATCATATACACATTCTGCTTTTGTAATTACAGACTATTCTGAATTAAAAAACAATTTTTTTTTACATTAAGAAATTAGGCCTTTTATGTTCCAATGAAAATTTGTTTCCTTTAAACTAGGTAACTTGGGCAGACTTCTACTGGGAAATTTGCAGTACCACACTTTTGGTCTTTAAACCTGATTTGTTGGACATCTATCCCAGGCTGGTGACATTACGGAAGAAAGTCCAAAGCATTCCTGCCATCGCTGACTGGATACTGAGAAGGCCCCAGACCAAACTCTAGGTAATGCCAGCCACCTCCAACCTTTATTCTTCTTTACAGCATCACTCTCATCAGATAAGAAGCTACATCAACATGCTGCATAATGTGCATACACCACCCCCTCAGCTCCGTTAATACTTTCATTTCTGCCATATTCTGCTTATTAAAAGAAAAAAAAAAAAAAGGAGGAAAGGGGATTAGAAAAAAAAAGACTTTTGTTTCCAGTATCTTTTTTTCTCCAGAAGAGCTTCACATTATCTATAGTTTACAATACAGGCAGGCCATGCTTTGCACTAGTTCTGACAGGCATGAATTTCAGTCACAGTGGTTTAGTTACATATTTTCCAAAAAAAGAAATGGTTTGGATTTCAGTTTCCATGGTGTATTAATGAGTAATTGCATAAAGTATAAATTTTGCTGCTAGCGCTTCAGTCCACAAGTCACTATGTAAATAACAGACAGATACATGGCCAACTATGCCACTTCTTTCACACTCTGTTGGTGATTGGTCACTGCACGTCTGTCATTTACACACAGACAGCAAAGTGTGTAGTTGTGCTGCCTGCTTGTTTCTCAGTGATACACCCACTTGACATTTTACAAAAATGGATAATTGAAAAAGGGAACTCACCCACAGCAAAGGAAACCATTAACAAAATGAAAAGACAACCCTTAGGAGAAAATACTTGCATATGAAGCGACAGATAAGGGATTAAATCTCCAAAATATACAAAAAGCTCATGCAACTCTGTCAAAAATCTAACAACTTAATCAAAAAATTGGCAAAAGATCTAAAGAGACATTTCTCCAAAGAAAACATGAAATGGCCAAAAAACACATGAAAAGATGCTCACCATCACTAATTATCAGAGAAATGCAAATCAAAGCTGTTGCTTCAATGAGGTATCACCTCACAGTAGTCAAAATGGCCATCATCAAAAAGTAAGTCTATAAATAATAAATACTGGAAAGGGTACGGAAAAAAGAGAACCCTCTTACACTGTTGGTGGGGATGTAAACTGTTAGAATCACTATGGAGAACGGTATTCAAGTTCCTTAAAAAACTAAAACTAGAACTATCATATGATCCAGCAATCATATACCTGGGCATATTTCCAGAGAAAACAATAATCTGAAAAGACACACGCACCTGATGTTCATCGCAGCACTATTTACAATACTTAGGGCACCGAAGCAACCTAAATGTCCATCAACAGAGGAAGGGCTAAGAGGTGGAACATGTATATATAACAGAATACTATTCAGCCATAAACAGAATGAAATAATGCCATTTGCAGCAACATGGACGGACCTAGACATTATCACACTATGTTAAGTAAGCCAGAAAAATATCATGATATCACTTACATGTGGGATCTAAAAAAGATACAAATGAATTCACTTACAAAACAGAAACAGACTTACAGATATTGAAAACAAATTTATGGTTACCAAAAGTGAAAGTGTGTGTAGGGGGGAATAAACTAGGAGTTTGGGATGAACATACATATACTACTATATATGACAGATAACCAACAAGGACCTCTATTGTATAGCACAGGGAACTCTATTCAGTATTGTAATTACCTATATGACCAAAGAATCTAAAAAATATATGTACGTATAACTGAATCACTTAGATGTACAGCTGAAACAACATTGTAAATCAATTCTACTCCAATAAAATTAAAGTATTAAAAAACAAAAGAAACAAGAGAACTCACCAACAAAGATGAAAGTGCAGTAAAGAAAAGTGATAATGCTGGAGTGAAATTCAAACTGAACATAAATGGAAAAATGCTCTTCAGACGTAGTTGGAAGAACTCGGTGAAGGCAAACTTACTGACATAAATGAGGAAAGTGGTTGTGACAAAGATGAAGATGTCCTGGAGGAAGTGAGACTGGTGAAAAATCCTTCACATTAAAAGAACAGAAGATGAAAAGAATGAGAAGCCAAGCCACATATACGAAGAAAATATCTACAAAAGGACTTTATCCAAAATATACAAAGAACTCTTAAATATCAACAATAAACAACCTGATTACAGAATGGATGAAAACATCTGGATACACACCTCATCAAAGACACACAGATGGCAAATAAGCATATGAAAAGATGCTCAATATTATATGTTACTAGGGAACTGCAAACAATGAGATACTATTATATACCTATTATAAAGGCAAAAATTAAAAATATACCACCAAATACTGGCAAGGATGTCGGGCCACAGGAACTTTTATTCACTTCTGATATAAATGCAAAATAGTACATATACCTCGGAAGAGAGTTTGGCAATTTCTTACAAAATTAAACATACTCTTACCATATGATTCAGCAAGCACACTCTGGTATTTGCCCAGGGGAGTTGAAAACAGGTCCACACGAAAACCAGCACATTGATGTTGTTGGTAGCCTCATCAATAATTGCCAAAACTTGGAAGCAACCAAAATATCCATTAGTAGGTTAATGGATAAGAAAACTGTGGTATACCCAACAAGAGAACATTTTTCATTGCCAAAAAGAAATGAACTATCTAGCCATGAAAAGACATGGAGAAAACTTATATGGATTTTTAAAGCAGTAAGACTATTCTGCAAGATACTATAATAGGTTCATTTGGCAAACCCATAGGCTGTACATCAAGAGTGAACCTTAGTGTAATCTATGGACTTTTGGTGATTATGTCTCAATGGAGGTTCACTGATTGTAACAAATGTATCATTTTGGTGTAAGATGTTGAAAGTGAGGGAAGTTGTGTTGTGTGGGGACAAGGGTACATGGGAACCCTCTGTACTTCCTGCTTAATTGGCTATGAACCTAAATCTCCTCTACTAAACTCAGTTTAAAAAGAAAAAACGGGGGTGGGAGGAGTTATTTCATAACACTGAAAGAGCAGTGAAATGCTGGAAGCTGATTGAAATCAAGGATTATGACTATTTGCCAAGATAAAAAAAAAAAAATTCTTGCTTGCAAGTTTTACAGGAAGGTACTGTTCAAACTACTTTGATAAATTTTTTACAAAAACTAAAATTTCTCAATGTTTCTAATATTTTACAGTGCACTTAAAGACTAGTTTTCCTATTTTGTTCATTTACTTATACATTTATTTTGTGCTGACAAAATTTTTAAAGGTCATGGAACAATCATTTTTCCTGAGGATTATTTTACACTTTCAACTTGAATCACTTTTATAGTCCTACATGACTGTATAAGAACTACCCATATAAACAAGCCATTTATATAGAAATCTTTCAATTAACTGTATATTTGGATTATCCCAACCTATTTTAAACCATAATTATATTGAAAAGTAACATTTTAGCTCAATATACATGTTAATATTATTGAGTTGTCTAATCTTCTGTCATATCAGGAAATAGATTAAGAAAACAGATAGTCTTATCCATGAAATGAATGGCAGAGGAAAGAGAATATAGTTAAGAAGCGAAAAGTGGGGACAGGGTGTGGGAAAAAAAGAAAGAAAAGGCAAGTCCATATACGTGTGATCTTGTTTAAGGTGCTTCTTCTTCATAACAATGTCCTATGAAATCTGAGGGAAAAAATTACTGTACACATTATTAAGACTTACACTGAGAGAAAGAAAGATAAATATCATATTCTAACACATATATATGGAATCTAGAAAACTGGTACTGAAGAATCTATTTACAGGGCAACAATGGAGAAGCAGACAGAGCAGAGACTTGTGGACACGGGGAGAGGGGAGGAGAGGGTGAGCTGTATGGAAAGAGTAACAGGGAAACTTACATTCCCATGTGTACAATAGATAGCCAACAGGAATTTGCTGCATGGCTCAGGAAACTCAAACAGGGGCTCTGTGTCAACCTAGAGGGGTGGGACGGGAGGGAGATGGGAGGGAGGTTCAAAAGGGAGGGGATATATGTATACCTATGGCTGACTCATGTTGAGGTTTGATAGAGAACAGCAAAATTCTGTAAAGCAATTATCCTTCAATAAAAAATAAATTAAAAACAAACAAACAAAGAATTACACTGAGACACAGAGTGTATTTCTCAAGTATTTTGCTTCTTCAGATTACTTTTCTTACTGTTAGTAGCTATTAAGAAATAATAGGTTGTAAGTAACTTCTCATTGCAAAGTCCTCATATATGTCATCAGGGCAGTCTAGAGGAAAAAAAAACAAAACTGTCCTTCACAGAAGAAATTCAAATACTCTAGATAATAAGGTAGAAACTTTTCTTCCCTCTTATGTATATTGATTTTCCTCCACATAATTACATTCTAACAAGCTTTAATGAAAATAGAACTTAGTAAGTGATAAATACAATATTTATATAAATTATGGAAACTCTATAATGAGTCCCACTGTTTACACATATTGTGATTCAATAAAAAATGCACCCATAGCAGATTTTACAAGGAAATATTTCAGTCATAGCATCATCATAACCTTTAGGTCATCTTTTTTTCACTGAAAAGAACAACATATTCCATTATCCCATCCTGTATTTAAACATCTCCTCACTGAGCAAGTAAGCAAGGTGAGAGTACATGAATTAATCACGGCAGAAATGAACTGCCTATTATAATTAGTAAGAAACCATACCTTTTGGGAAGTTAAAACAATCAATTCCTTAATTTTATAGACCATTTAAATATTTTGCTTAAGGTCACACAAATGGAAACCAAATCTCCTAATACTCTTATCTAATCATTATACAGTAACACCAACAATGAGGAACAGTATTAATGTTTCAACATACATATCTATTGGTATAAAGTTACAAGACTGTGGGGTCAGAACTCAGAGTTATAAAAACACATTATGTCTTTTATCCCTGTGTGACCTGTATTAACAAAACATACGGTGCTTCAGTTGGCCAAACATTACTCCAACAACTGTGGCTTCATATGCTCTTTACTGATGATGGATTTCAAATTTTACTGATATCAGTTCAATAAAAGGACTAATGAGAATACATCCAAAGTAATCATTCCAGTTTACTGAGAAAGAGACAATATTAAGCACATAATACCATTTGTGCTCCATACAGAAACTACTACAAAATGTATGATACTACTACTTATGATCATAATTATTTTTATTAAGCCAAAAACGTAACAGAGCTTTACAGGGAGAACCCAACTACATTTAATTAAACATAAAAATATGGATTAAACAACAACAAAAGAAACAGCCTATCGCTGAAGACACATTAATACAAGAAAGTTACAAGGAACCCATTTAAGATTTTTAGAAGGTAACATTCTCAACAATATAAGTGATTTGGGTACCATGATGTAGAAGGAGGTAGTGATACTACTTGCAGAGTCCTTTCAATCTTTCACTTTCAAGACTGGGTAAGTCTACTGAATCATGAGTTTTCAGGGTCTATAATATCGGAAGAATCACTATAAGAGCATCATTAGCCTTCAACTGAAGAGTTATATTACTCTAGAAACTTAGAAAGTCAGGATGTTGTGAAAGTATAATCTTCAATAATGAACAAATCTTTGATTTATAAATAAGTTTATTTATAATGATATTTACATAATAAAACAAAACACATGAAACTCACAAGTTATATAAAGAAACTGATGTATAATAAAAACAGCAATATAGACCAACAGGCAAAAATTTAAAGAAAGATTTAATAAAGAGTTAAATATCAAGTAGACAACTTTACTTCTAAATTTCACTTTGTCACCCACACTGAATTGGAATTGAAGAATGGCCCTTTCTTCAGGAGGTCCTGTACTGGAAATTCTGCAAAGTGGTAAATTATATTTTGATAAGAATTCAAAGTTAATGACCTATTTCCATGCAGTACCTAATGCTGCCGTAAAAAGGAAGTCACATTCAGTCTGCTTTGAAGTTAAACAGCCTGCTAATCTGTTCTGCCAGACTAGAAAAATGTCACCACCATTTTGCTGATATGTGGAGATGTGACAGGAATAGACTACTATTTAGAGTAGAGAGAACTGGAGCAGAAATGACTGGGCAACAGTTTCAAGAGAAGCAAAAGCCAGGGGAGGGAAAATAATGAAAACATGCACAAGAATAGGTAGACTAGTAAGCACAGTTAGTGCAGTTGGGAAATGAACAGAAGGATTTACTTCATGGAGCAAGATAAAGGCTTCTTCAGTTACTATTCACTGGAAAACAACTTAGTGCCTAGCCAAACAAATTTGTGTTAACAGAAGTACTTGGGAGGACCTGGGCGGGGGGGTTAGTATATGGAATGCCACCTTTAAATTCAGGTTGAGTTCTTGTTGATAGTGGTGAACATCTGTTTCAAATAGCAATAAAATGAAAGCTATATAATCTATACAGCTGCATTCTTTAACATAATAAAAAAACAAACTTCAAATGAGACGAGCAAAAACAAGACATAAGCATTGTCAAATAAGGCACATGTAAAAATCTACACACATTATCCAGTGAAAGACAATATATATATATATCTGGAGGTAGAAATAATTACAAAAATACTGACATTTCTAAAGCATTAGCGTATTTGTTACAAACAATCACCAACTAATCCCCATTCAGAAAACTGTTTTGTAAAATGATTATTTAACATCTTCAAGACGACATATTCGTGGCTTTTTTTTTAAATTTCACATGTGAGCATCTGGAGAATTCAGTTAGTGGCAAAAAAGTTGTCCATACTATGAGAAATGTAATATGGAAATTATAAAAAGTTATAAATGTTCATAAACCCCACGGTCATCATAATGTAAATGTCCTTGAGTGCACCAAGTTGATATTTCCTCATCAGTCAGGAATTAACAATTCTCATTTCACAGGCCCATTGATGTTTTTAGTAATGTGGCTATATCTGCTGGCATACTTCCTTCGTCACCTGCAGGTCAGAAACTGGTGTTAAAAGTTTGATAAAAAATATTTCATGAAGCATGCTTCTTTCCAATTTTCTTCACTTTTGGTGAATCCTTAATCATCTTTCAAAGCCCAGTTAGATTCAGCGTTACTCCCTGTTAAAAACTTTCCCAAATTCCTACAAATATTCTTAGGGCTACTTCCCCTGTGCTCATGTTCACATTGCCAGCGGAGCTGTCTACAGCTTCTCTTTCTGATTTGATAAAGATATAAAGACATGCATATAGACAGCCTAGATCAAATCCTATTTATTCACATAGTATTTACTCCTCAGGTTCACTAAATAAAAGCATCTATGTAACAATCTGAATGTGAAAATAAAGACAAAACTCACAAATCCAACCAAACAGAAATAATTTCATCTAAACTTATTTTCAGTCCAAAGATAACAATCATTGACTTAAAGAAAATTTCAATTAAACAAGACCCCAGTATCTAGACACTTATCCAGGTGTCTCTCTTTCTCTGTCACTCATACAGACCCCAGCTATAGTCTAAACTTAAGACAATACTTTTATCTACTCTTCTCCCTTCAGTAAAAAAATATGCATAAGATGACAAACCACTATATAAACTCTCAGGAAATTCACTGACATGCTTGCCTCTAATCCTGTCCAAAGACTTGAAAACAGTCCATGAAATCCAAATTTAACAGCACATAAAAAAGTAAGATATAGAAGTAACTGGTCATACAATAAAAAATAAACTTTATGAGGATGCTGGGTGATAGAGTGGGAAGGAGGCTTTTATTTGCCCTTTTATATCTTAGGAATCTTGAACTATGTGGATTTATCTACTTTTTTTTTAATAAAAAATTAAAAATCATTCTCTTCAAAAAGATGGAGGAAATGGAGAGGGTTCTCCTATTTGATGATTGTTTAGTTGCTCTTTAATTTGAAATTATTCAATTTTTTAATAAACGCATTTTATTGTACTCTATAGAGTAATGAGTATTTTGCTAGGCAAAATGAAATGAATATAAAAGTTAAGAGTTCTTAATAGTAAGTAAATTATAAAATTGCAGATAAAATTATGGACCCAATTTTATTTCTGGGATATTTTTGTATCAGAGACTGGGAATGGAACAGACAGAATTTTTCATAATCAAAGTAGTTTTACCAGTTCTGGCAAAATGCTCTTAGTTGTTGCAGTGCTTCTGACACAAGTATGCTTATCTTCTGTGCTATCCATAATCTGCATACCAGTCAAGGACTCAGACCATCTTTGTGACTCCCTGCTACTGCTAAGTTGATGCCTTCCCATATTAATAAAGTTTATGCTCACAAAAAACTCACCTTCATCTACTGTGGTCATATCTTGTTCTAGTTTCAATTTCTGTTGGTTAATTTTTAGCATGGATTCTTCAATTGTCCCTTGGCCTATTAATTTTATAACTAGTACTTCTCTAAAGAAAACACAAGATATGTCCACTGGTTACTTAATATAAAATTATTTGATATATATAAACTATTAAATACATAAATCACTTAAGAATGTGGTAAGAATAACTAGAAAATTGTTTAACATATACATCCATAAATTTAAATTCTTTTATTCACACTATTTGAGGCTGACATTTTCTGAGCATGTCACTTTCAAACATCCTTATTGATTCAAGAGATAAGAAAAAGGTATCTATAAACATTGCTGGTATAGACTGTATTACAACAAACAATTCTGGGTTCAGGTAGGTATTTCATTTTAACAAAGAACATGCTTTGCTTCTCAGGTTCCAAGAGATCTAGTTTAGTACAAGAAGTATGGAAGTGTTGTAAAGTATAAAGATTACACAGGAGGTTTTAGTTCTACAACAAGTACTAATAAATATTTGGTTCATAAATGAACTTATCAATGTCTTTTGGAAATACAGTAAAATACCCCACAAAGATGGATTGTTTGCTGTTTACATTGAGAACAGAGTTGAATTATAGGTATTTTCACCTCTTTATGTCCTGTGAGCAATGTCTAATCTAACCTTCACCTAAAATACCTACAGCTCACATAATCTATTTCCTATGAGGTAAGAAGGAAGCAACTGTATCACATTACCAAATCTGTCTGGCTCTTACATGGCTTAACAAGAAGTTATTTCAATCACTAATCTTTTTCAGAGGGGCTGGGCGGGCCATTGGTAGGACTGAACGATATGGACGGGGGGTGGGAGGTTATTCTGTTTTATTTTTTAGGCTGCACCATGTAGCCTGTGGGGTCCCAGTTCCCCAACGAGGGATTGAACCCAAGCTCCTGGCAGTGAATATGCCGAGTCCTAACCACTGAACCTCCAAGGAATTCCCTGCTTTAATTACTAGAATATGAATGGGTTACATAGTGGAGTTCATATCAAACACTGTTGGTATAAAATACCACAGGAGCCTTGCTTTGCTGAAAATATAAAAACAAACAGCGAAGGTAGGACATCTGACAGATCATATTCTAATATTCTATAGAAATTAAACTGGCATTTGATTAAAAATAAATTCCAACTGCAGACACTCACTTTGTCTGGCCTACTCGATGGCATCTATCTTCTGCCTGTTTGTCATTGTAAGGGTTACAGTCAATGTCATGAAGTATAACGACATTTGCTGAAGTCAGGTTAATTCCCAAGCCACCAGCTTTTGTTGACAGCAGAAACACAAAGATATCCATATCGGTATTAAATTCATCAATTAGATGAATCCTACAAGATAAACATATAAGGTTAAATCTCACAAGAAGGTTTATAACGAAAACTGAAAGCAATCACATCACATGGAAAATAAACTTCAAGATGTAAATATATGGTCTTGGCACTCTAGTTATTTTTCTTTTCTATACCATTTATCTCCCTACTATTAATAATTCTTACTTTTAACTATGCAGATTTGATTAATTCCTAATTAATTTTGTCTTTGTGAAAAGACTCTTGGCTTTTCTAAATTATGATACGGCTTTGTGATCTTTAACCTTCTTAGAGTCAGTCAGCTATGACTCAGACAATATATCTGATGAACCACACATTTCAAGATTAAACTAGAATGGTGTATTCTCTTTAGCATTACTTCTCTTCTTACTCAACGCAGGAAAAAAAAATTTACTCTGGCTGATAAAAAAATAAACCAAAGATATAATGCAGTTTAAACACACTAGAAAAAGCACTGCTTTTAAGACAACCAAAACCCCAAACTTACTCAACTACCCTCAAAATAAGAAAAGTCCAAGATTTTAAGGTAATCTTGGTTTAAAGATAATGTGCTCTAGACTCAGAATGATTTTCAAGGAGAAAAGCACTGAAACACATATAACTCTACTAGTTGTTTCAAAATATATTTGAATATGGTTCAGACCAAAAATTAAATTTTCCTCATCTTAAGGTAATGAATGATCTAAAGTAACCAAACATAGGACTCAAAGCAACATACAACTCCATGAAAAGCTCTAGACATTTAAAATTCTAACATTTACTCTTATTTGAGAGTAAGGTAGAGAGATTTTCTGAAACCAAAGTATACCTACCTTTCAGAAATCTGAGTCTTCCCATCTAATCTGAGGTACCTATGCTGATGATGTTTTAAGAGAACCTCCAAAATATCCAGCATCATGGTAAATTGGCTAAATAATACAACTCTATCACCCTGTGGAAATACATATATTAGTTAGATACATAAAAAATAAAAATTTAAGTATCTAATGAAAAACTGCCTCTTTAATAATAATAATCAAGTAATCATAGCTAAGATAAATTTCTTATTTTAGATTGTATATAAATTATCTTCTAAACTTTGAACCTAAAATTGATTTTTAAGACTAATTAATGGGAATAGCTACAAAAAATACTAATTAGATTGTGATCTTACAAATCTAAGCTATTTCATATGTAAACATTATGCATTAATTTATGTTAATGCTCACATGTAAGGATTAATTTATGTTACCATTGTATCTTCAAAACAGTAAGCTTGAAGCAATTATATAGAATGTCACCTATGAAATAATGACAATTTTATTTTAAAAATCAATATATTCTACTAACTTCTATTAGATGGAGGAAAAGTAATCAGGAAATCATGCCCAAACACATCCAAAAAATGCTCAAAACACTAATTTCTAGAAGAATGTAGAACATGGGCTAAAACCTCAAGAAAGTCAAATCATGCCAGAACTATTTTAAAGTAGCTGAACTAATTGGGAAAACATATAAGAGAGAAATATTCTTCTTTAGTACCTTCTGCTTCAATTCAGACAAGATGCATCCTAAAACTCGAAATTTTCCAGAATCTAAAATCAAGTCCATGTCTAACTGGAAGTTATTAATATGTCGATACTGTTTACAAAGTACATGTAATTCGAAGTCTGTCATGACTTCCATATCTTCAAAGATCAGGTCAGGGTTAGCCTCACAATGTGTAGGTTCCTCAAAATAAAACAGAACAAAACAATATACACCTCAAAATGAAGGTAATTTATAATATGATTAGAACAATCTAATGAAATTGTTCAGATCAGGTAAAACATCTAAGTTATTAGATATTTCAGTGCAACAGATTTGGCAAAGGAAATTAATATTTATTTTTTAGCTATAATACAGATAAGTTCTTACTGTTTTAGAGATAACATACTGATATATTTACAGGTGAAGTAATATCTAGAATTTGGTTCAAAATAATCCTGGGGAGGATTCTAGGTGAAACAAGAGAGAGCAGTCTCATTCCAGGTGATAACTGTAGAATATAGGTGAAGGTTACACAGGTAGAAGCTTTCATTATACAATTCTCTCTACTTTCACATGTCTAAAATTTTCCATGAATTTAATATAAAAACAGTTACAGAAGACATGGAAACAAAAGCACATGGCTATGTTAGAACAAAACTTTATTTGTAAACATAGTTACTGTCATATTTGGTCTTACGGTCATAGTTGGCTGACTCTTGATGTAGACTGTCAATCCTTGGCTCTTTTGTCTCCTGTTTTCAACTTTGTCTTAAAAATGTTTTTCTTAAATATTTGGTTAAAGGGTTAATATCCTTACTAGGTTCAATGGTCTGACTTTTAGACTAACAATGAATCTCAAGCTTAATAGTGCTAATAAAGCATACTGTTATCATTCAAAATCCTTACCTTTAGCATAAGCTGAGACATTTCCTTGAGTTTTTCAGCTGTGTAATATTGGCGATGTAATAAAGGATGATTGGCCATTTTTCTCAATTGCATCATGACATTGCACATTTCTGTATTTTTTTCTGTGATCCAAAAAGTACACATTAAAAAAAAAAAAGTTGATGGCTGTTTGCTGAAATACATCTCAATGCAAACAAAAGGTTTTAAAACTATTTCTTCAAATTCGAACTTAAAAAAAAGCAAAAGCAAATCCCATTATCATACGATTAAATAAAAAAGCAGTTCCAGTACAGGATTATTCTTTACATAAAATTGTGAAAATAAGGTTATACCCATGTTATTGATAGACTTTTTCAATCTGTTGAAGAGACTCATATAGAGTTGTTCCTGCTTCTCTGACATTGCACATAACTCAATTCGATCTTTTTTGGGGGGCAGCTGCTTGAGAACCTGTGAAAGGAAAACAGTTTAAGCAGATCATTCAAATAAAGAGTAAAAAAGATTTTAAAACCAATCATAATAAAAATACACAGATAAGAGTTACCTCTTCTTTTACTCTTCTGAGAATAAATGGTTTTATAATTTGTTTTGCATGTGCTATTCTCTCCTTTTCATATATACTTTGCTCATCTGCTGATTTCTAAGTAAAGTAAGAAAATGACATTTTAAAGTTATTACACAACATGAAACTCTCCCTCACTACATTCTGAGTTTTTCCCATAGAAATTCAATTCATTCTAGATGGAACTTGAATTCTGGGCTGACATATAGTTCTTAAGACTCCACATGTACTTTCAGGTTTTGTGACAAATCATGTACTCTCCGGAGGTAATGAAATTGAACTGCACTAGGGTAATGTTCAGAAGTAATTAACTCGTGAGTCATTACTGATCAGATAACTCTCTTAAAAAGATATGTGTGTATTTAAGGGAGTTTGGGTGGAGGTAAACAGAGAGAGTAGAAACTTGTATCTGTTTGTGGAAAATGGCCCCCAAAGAAAGCTGGTGCAGGTGATGCAAATCATTAGTCTACACAAACAGGGTAGTTCCTAGCCAAAACCTGTTAATTTTGGAGAAGAGGAACTTTATACTAAGATTTTAAAGGAATCCTCCATACCCTATGATCTGCTAAGGCCACCACGTGGAAGGGAATACATTAATGAAATTAGAAAGGCAGCTGGCAGGAGATTATCAGAAAATTCTCACAAAATACATGTGATTTGTGAGAGTGTCAAGAACCTATATAAACACTGTTGTGCTGGAAAATCAGAGTTCCTGAAAACTATACTCTCACTTTTTCTAAGTAACAGGGAAAAAATTAACCATATTTTCTTGTAAATAAGATTTCTTTATTGAAACTTTTAATTTATGGAGTGTCAATGCAAAACATATCTCCCAGTATATGAGTTTTTGGGATATTTTACCTTGCCCAGCTTTATAGTTTACCTATTTAAAAAAAAGCTAATTTATCTAATTTTAAAAAAGAAGATGATACGATCAAAGTTTCTCCACATATTAAATATCTGAGCTATCCACTGATTTGAAATGATGATTCAGAGAATCAGGATATTAAAAACCAAAACTTTCAGACAATGATTATAGAAGCCTCCAGCTTATTTCCTATTGTATTTTGGCTGACTTCCCAACTCATCCAAATACAGGGATATCAACCATTTAAACTTATTTCATAGGACATGTGTCCGACGAAAACAAGAAAAAAGACAAAACAAAAAAATGGTCCAGGTAAAACACAAAGTAAGACATTTGAAAAAAAAATGAATTTATGCTTACTGTCTTAGAAGAAAACATTCTTCGTATTTCACTGGTGCTACTACTGAACATGTGTGGCATAACAAAATTCAACAGCGACATGAGTTCTAACAGGTTATTCTGCACAGGTGTGCCTGTGAGCAGCAGACGGTTATTTGCCTATGAACAAAGGTAAAGTTTAGATTTAGTGTTGCCTTAAAAGAAAAAAAGATCTATATACTTTTTAGTTATCTCCCTCAGTGGAGGAGAAAAAAATTAAAATAATTATTAGTAATAAAATATTCTGTGATGAAAGGTAAGTAATTCTAAAAAATTATCATCTATTGTACTTCAAGGTAGAATGTATAAAACATTCAGTTTTTAAGTGGGTAATTCAAGTTCCCACATTACTTTTCTATGAAGCAATGAAAGGAGACAGATTACATCTGATATCTATAAAGTTTATCCTATAGTACAAAGGCTGGCAAACTGAAGCTCATGAGCTAAGAATGTTTTTTACATTTTTAAAGGGTTTAAAAAAAAGAAAAAGCAAAAAGCAAGTGATAGTAGCTGAATGGCCCATGGAGCATGAAAAGTTACTTATCTGGTCCTATGCAGAAAAAGTTTGCTGGTCCCTGATGTAAGATACCATACACACATATACACAAAATCTGAAATTTTATCATACTGGGAAAAATTCAGAGAACATTCTCTTACATTAATTGTCATAAGGTGCTGGTAGCGGATGGAGCCCATATTCTTCAGCATATGGCCCTCATCAAAAATTGCATAATTCAGTTTCAGCCGACGAAATAGACTACGATCATCAGAACTGCTGATGGCACAGTTATACCTGTCACCAAAAGAAAAAATCAGTCTCTAAGAATAAACCTTTAAAAGCATGGACTTATGTGAGATTAATGTTTCAAAAAATTATTTTTATTTATATATTTCTAATAGCCAGTACCTAACACAGCTGGTACTCAAATAAATACTGATGCACTTATATCCAATAATTATTGATGTACATGTAAGTGTGTATGTGTTCGTCACTTAGTTGTGTCTGACTCTTTGAGACCCGATGGACTATAGCCTGCCAGACTCCTCTGTCCATGGAATTCTCCAAGCAAGTACTAGAGTGGGTAGCCATTCCCTTCTCCAGTGGATCTTCCTGATTAAGGGATCAAACCCAGGTCCCCTGCACTGCAGGCAGATACTCTACCATCTGAGCTACCAGGGAGGATGATGTCCATGTAACCAAGTTACAAAAGCTACAATATGCAGTTAAAAGACAATTTATATGTTGGAATTAGACAATCTCTATACATCTAGGAAGAGGCCAATTTGGGTACAATTTATATGTGATCTGCAATTATCACACACTTTGCTTTATGAATTGTTATATTTTAAGAAGCAGTAGGAAAAAAAATGTGAAGCTAAGACATTTCTGTTAAGAACATAACATAATGCTGTGTTTAGTTGTTCATTATACTAAACTGGTAGAGTTAATCCAAGAAATAACAATTAACAGCAGCTTAGCAGCAACAGCAGCACAAGACTACATATGAAAATGGAGTCTCTTTTATTAAGAAAAGATGATTTCTGGATGAATTCTTTTAATCATGGTCTCCTACAGAATTAATTAACAAGTGTTATTACAGTACTATATACCAAACTGAAAAATGCCTAAATCTTCAACATAACTCATTCTATTACTTTTGATGAATAGTCCTTAGCATAAATTTTATTTCATTTTACTACTACTATTTTAAAAACATTTTAAAAAAAGATTTGGTGGCTATACAATTTTTTTCTTCCAGTTTTTTTCCTCAATACTTACGTGGTCACAATTACATTGTATTCTTCATATCTGCTATGAATGTTGTATCTAATCTGTTTACGTTCTTCTTGAGAACCTAGAATTTAAAGATGAAACATACAAATTGATTGTATTTATTGTACTTAACTGTATGTTAAGATTTTAAAGAAGCTTCCAAAGTTAAGAGAAAAATGACATATTCTTACCATAGTAACAGAGCACCTTTAAAGTGGGGCACCATAAATTAACTTCTCTTAACCAGTTATCTATGAGACAAAAGAGATATTACTTGCATATGCTACAACAGGATATATGTGTGCAATGAAATGAACACTGAAGTCTAACAAGATCTACCAGGAAATTCTTCTTTTATAAAGTAACAGAAGATGATTTTGAAAAATCACACTCTTCACAATTTTATCCCTGATGATTAAAATGATGAAGATTTTCAGGTGGCATCAAAATAAAGAGCAGAAGCCCAATCTTTGTATTTATAGATGATTATTAATTTCTAATTTTGAGGTTTCTTTTTTTTGGGGGGGAAGCGGTTACGTTCATACATACATTCTCTGACTCCAGTCTACAATCAATTGAAAAAGAATGAAACAGTAATTTGAATTGGGATGAATTGCATATTTCTCACTTAACAAATGTTTAATTGTAAGTTTAAATCACTTAGCTTCCCTTAAATTAGTTACTCATGAAAACAACCTTTAAAAGTATTACAAAAACAAATAATCTTTTCAAATGGTACTTAATCTCTAATAATTTATAAGCTGAATAACTAACTTATACTGGAGTTCTTTTCTTTAAAAAGACCACAGAAATGAACATTCACCTCCACAAACTAAGAAATCTCACACACACAACACAGACTTTTTCTTCCCTTCATACATATAAAACACCATTTAGTCAAGTAAAATTGTCCACAGTATTACAAACCTATAGTTGATGCTGGAACAACGATCAAATGAGGACCTTTATTACCCTCCTGATAGAGGTACGCCAGAAATGCAATGGCTTGAATAGTTTTTCCCAGACCCTAAAAAGAAAATGTTTAAAAGAAAACATATTAAATGTAAAAACAAACAAAAGACCCAAATAAATACTGGGAAAATGAAAGAAAAAAGAATATTTCTGGTTTTATTTATGATTCACCACAATGCAACTCTACTATATTCTTAGTTCTCAATAGCCATAAAACAGATCATAATCGCCAAGTGATACTACAACTTAAAGAGTGCAATGTACTTTAACTGCTAGCTAATATGTGATACACACTAATATGAAAGACCTCTGCTTGCATATAAAGGATATAATTTTGGTAACTGTTAATATGAAGCAACCATTTCATACATACTGGATGGATGGAAAACGGCGCTCCGTGACTAACTGGAGTTGACTATGTACCCATCCTATTACTCACCAATTTTACTCCTAAGAATATATTCAGGAGATATGACAGCATATGTCCATGAAAAATCTTGGGTAAGAATACTGATGCAGTTTTATTATAATAACCCACACTGGAAATAATCTAAACTGCCATCAATAATCTAAACTGCCAGGAGAGTGGATAAAAAGCAACCACCATCACCAAACCACTGATACATGTAAGAGCATGGATTAATCTTAGTAATTTTATTACGGACCAAATGAACCAGAAACTGTTTAAACAGTATATATTGTATGGATCTATTCATATAAAGTTCAGAAATCAGAAAAAAAAATTACTGTACTGTGATAGATGTCAGAATAGTGGTGGTGTTTATGACTAAAAAGGAGCATAAGGCAACTTTCTGGGATGATGGAAATGTTGATCAAGAGGCAGTCACATGGGTGTACATACATGTAAAAAGTCACTAAGCTGAAAATTTGTATGCTCATCAATAAAGTATTATATTAAAAAAAGGCTGCTGCTGCTGCTGCTGCTTCAGTCGTGTCCGACTCTGTGTGACCCCACAAACGGCAGCCCACTAGGCTCCCCCGTCCCTGGGATTCTCCAGACAAGAACACTGGAGTGGGTTGCCATTTCCTTCTCCAATGCATGAAAGTGAAAAGTGAAAGCGAAATTGCCCAGTCGTGTCCAACTCTTCGCAACCCCATGGACTGTAGCCTACCAGGCTCCTCCGTCCATGCGTTTTCCAGGCAAGAGTACTGGAGTGGGTTGCCACTGCCTTCTCCAAAAAAAGGCTAGAGAGGAAATATAGCTCCTCAGGAGAGCTAAACATTGCCAACTGTTAGGAACTGAATTGCTCCCAAACCCCAAATTTACATGTTGAAGTCCTAACTCCCAATGTTAAGATTTTTTGGAGATAAAGCCTTTAAAGAGATAAGTTAAATGTAGTCATAAGGGTAAGGGCCCAACCCCTATCTTTAAGAAGAGACTGAATGTGCCCAAAGGAAAAGCCATGTGAGGACACAGCAACATGTCTATCTACAAACCAGACAGTAGCCTCTGGTGAAACCAAACCTACCAACACTTTGATTTTAGACTTCCAGTCTCCAGAACTATGAGATATTTCTGTTGTTTAAGTCTCCCTGTCTTTAATACTTTGTTAGGGAAGCCCCAGCAGACACTACCTTATCATAAATATTGTACTTAATAGGATACAAAAACAGTTCCACATAATATATCTCATTTGACACCAAATATAATCTTATGATATAGGAATAACCTATGTTTTATTAACTTTAACCTTGAGAGATTAGGTCATTTGGTAAAGGTTAGACAACCCATGAAAGACAAATGTGGACCCAGAACCTAGATTTGATTTCCAAGTCCAGTTTCCACAATTGTACTATTCTATATCCTATATATAACTTCCAATTACTTTCAAATCCCGCATATATGATTCACTTTTCCAAATCACTTCTCTGTTTTAACAAAAGTATGAGATATATGTGGGAACGGTCCTAAAATACTGAAGATTATTTTACTAGAAGCAAAATAGAGGACAAGGATTATTATCTTTGTTAATTTTTATTTTGTAACTCTACACAGTGTAAAAGAGCTGACTCACTGGAAAAGACCCTGATGCTAGGAAAGAAAGGACAGGAGGAGAAGACAGTGACAGAGGATCAGATGGTTGGATGGCATCCTTGATTCAACAGACATGCGCAAACTCCAGGAAATAGTGAAGGACAGGGAAACCTGCGTGCTGCAATCCATGCTGTCACAAACAGTCAGACATGACTTAAGAGACTGAACACCACCCCCACCACAATTTAATACAATAGATATTCAATAAACATTTTCTCCACTGAACATGATTCATTTTTAATAAACACTTTTTAAAAAGTATAAAAAAATAAAAAGTATAGCTGGAGGAAAGAAGGTAAAAGTTAGATTAAAGGTCAAGTTTCTATATGACAATACTTGGGACTATTGGCTGTAATGAACTTCCTAGATCAATTTTTTTTTTCATTTATTTTTATTAGTTGGAGGCTAATTACTTTACAATATTGTAGTGGGTTTTGTCATACATTGACATGAATCAGCCATGGATTTACATGTATTTCCCATCCCGATCCCCCCTCCCACCTCCCTCTCTATGAATGGATAAGGAAGCTGTGGTACATATATACCATGGAATACTACTCAGCCATTAAAAAGAATTCATTTGAATCAGTTCTAATGAGATGGATGAAACTGGAGCCTATTATACAGAGTGAAATAAGCCAGAAAGATAAAGAACATTACAGCATACTAACACATATATATGGAATTTAGAAAGATGGTAGTGATAACCCTATATGCAAAACAGGAAAAGAGACACAGATGTACAGAACAGACTTCCTAGATCAATTTTAAAGGCAGCTATAGAAAAGCACATGCACTAAAATATCTTTTAGTATAATATATATATGTATGTGTGTATATATGTATGATGCATTCAAACACATCTGCAGAATAATCTGGAAAGATACAGCAAAATAAATACTTATTTTAAGGTGCTAGGATTATGTGTGATATTGGTTTTTTCTATGTATTTTTATGTAACATCTAATTTTAAAAACATATTTATTAATTTGATAAGAAAGACAAAAAACCTATTTTTATTTCTGAGAGGAAGTAAGGAGGCTAAAACTCACATAAGCAATAGAAAACTGAGAAGGGTAAGAGGGCTTATACTTTGCTAACAGCAGTAAACTAACAGGGTCGAGGGAAATTTTCATTTTTTTAAATGACAGCAAGGACGCCTATTAATAACATATCCTAGAAATAGAGTACTACTTACCATTTCGTCTGCCAAAATGCCATTAAGTCCATGTTTATGTACCAATGCCAGCCAATTCAAACCAACCTTCTGATAGGGCTTGAGTGACAAACTGGTAAAAAGAGAGTTACCGAATGTTACAGATTTATAATTCTATCAACTTTCTCTACTAGTTTTCTGAGTTGCAGTTTAGGTTTACAATGCACACAAAAAGGAAAGTATCTAGGTGTGATCTTACCTTTTAACTTATTGTTATTAATAAAAGCTATTTTCACTTAAGAAAATGAACCCAAAACATAAAACGTTTTAAAAAGTCTCTCAAATTTTATTCTGTATTTATTGATTTATTTATCCTGGCAATAAGAATTACAAAAGGTATTGCTGTATTCAGTTAAAATGTAATGCTACGAAATTAATCACATAAACAATTAGACTATTAACTATGGTAATATATTACAAAGCTAACATTTATATTAGAAAAATGTATTCATACGAATGAGTATTAGCACACTAAGGAACTTAAAGTATCAGAACAAAAACATAAGCATAATTTGCTACTTTGCCAGGCTGATTTAATAAACATTTTCTGAATGAATGCCAATCACCTTTAATGTCACTGGTATATATAATTATAGAGCATGTATGCATTGTGTATTTATGTTTGAACTATGTATAAATGTAAACTTGCTAGGGGGGGTCAATTAAATACCAATGAATAGAAAACAGCAGGCAAGTGTCAAAATGTTATTTAATTTGTGAACACATAACAGATTAATCCCTGGGATTAACTTTCTTGAAAGGTAACATGGAAGGGTTACAGTGGATGAAAACAACAGTTTTTTCTGAAAGTTCAAGTTGTTAAAAACTAGTATTTACTGAACATCTACTATATACACAGATAGACAAAAATATCACTTTCAGGTTTCACCTCATTCAATCTTTTAGTATTCCATAGAGGTAGGCTATTATTTTAACAGATGAAAAAACCTGAGGCTCAGCAATTTGCCTGAGGCTGCATAACTACAAAGCAAAATCTTATGGCTAAAATTTTAACTCAGAAAGTCTCTCTCATTCAAAAGTATATTCTTACACTCTTGAGGGCAGCTTAAACCCAGCATTAACATGAAAACTTAAGACAAGGCCATGCTCCTCATTCTACAGCTTTTATTCTGTCTCTTTAATTTCTGTTACACATATCCTATTTGCACACAGGGAATGTGTCTTGACACAGCAATGGGTATGATAAATGGTTAATGGGTCAAATTCTGAAATCGAGACATTTTAACTAGAACCGGGGTCAAAGAGGTAAGGTAGAAAGGTATCCATCTTAAATCAGAACCTATTCTTCAACTGTGGGGTGTGCAATCTGCAAAACATTTCTCATCTGAAAAAATTAAAAGTAGAGGTAGAAAAAAGTCAGCAGTGTTGCTGAAGTCTTTACAGTTCATATCTTAAAATGTCTTTGGTCTTCTTGGCCAATACTATTTCTATGCCACTACAAAAGTAATAATAAGTAGAATATACTATTGAAGGTATTTCAATTTTTCAGATCCAAATAAATTCTACTATACTGGTAGTCAGAATAAATGCTAATACTGGATTCAAGACACTCTACTATGGGGTTTACATGCATTATTACTTTATTTAACCGACATTATAAAGTAGGTACTAGTACTATAATCATCTCCATTTACAGATAAGAAATCCTCCCTGAGATTCAGAGAAGTTAAGTAACTTGCCTAAGGTCACAGTTATCCAAATCTGTGTCAACAGTGGTAGAGCTGGTACTCAATCCAGGTCTGATCCAGAGCTCTGCCTTCAATCACTGAACAGCAAACAGGAAAGTTTTCTCTCTCTGACCCACCTTCTCTACAGTCAGGACTTTCTATTTTTAAACTGAACTTTCTATTATGTTTCTGAGTCATTCCTAACATCGTAGTCATCCCCCACAGATCAGGGTTCACATTCCATGAAAATGATGAAAAACTCGATAAGGTAGGCACTTTACATCAGTTATAAACACATGCCAAGAGCCAATAAGCTCTCTCAATGTAAACTGACCACAAATACCCAATAAATATTTTTAACAAACAAAAATGACTGAATTTATGCATCACTAATACATGCTGAGAAAGGAGTCTATTAAAATATCCTTAACTATACATAAAATTTTAAAAAGTGATGAGATTTTGAGAACCATCTACTACACTGAATTTTCCATTCAAATACAATTGTTTCATCAACATTCATAAAGCAGCTATAGTAGCTGTTCTGATCATGACATTAAATACCTTTACTGAGTACATGTATGTGTGTATTTGCTCTTCTGCTCCATTTATCTAAATTACAAGTAACTAAATTATCTAAATTACAAGTAACTGTCTGTTGCAGCACTGCTGCCCATAAAACAAATCTTTTCAGAAAGCAGAAGGATCACTGAAAATGCCGTTTTGGCAAACACTTTTCCAATTCACTTGTTAAGACAAGTTTTAAAACAGGGCAGCTATAGTCCTTCTCTGTCAATCACTAATATTTAGTTGCTATACAATTACACTTTCCATTAATCTTAACATTTCAAAGTTTTCTAAAAACTTTTGACTGCGTATAAACCCCAACCACAAGTTTACAGGTTAAGAATATAAACTGCTCAGGGTTATCTGAATGGTAAGAAGTATAGCCAGGGCCTTCTGAGGTGGGTAAGTGATCTCTTCTCAGTAAGGGACCATAACTATCCTGCATTGCAGGTTTTCTTACCTCCCAATGATGAAAAAAGTGATTTTAAGATTTTCTGACGTCATGAAAGAAAATGAGGCAGCATGTTTAAAGTTACTTGTTTTGTTAGGGGGGAAAATCCTTTCAGATATAAGTTACTTTGATTTCTTTTCAGAGGGAAATTAAATTGGGTTTAAATTTCCTGTCAGAGAAAAAATAGCTTCAAAATTATTTTGAAAGGTGAGAAAGGCCTGAAATAGAAAACTGGAGTATATACAATGTGCTAAATTTAAGTGTAAAATGCAGAAGTAGAGGGCTAAACTTTTTGCAGTAGCTCATATGAAACAGATCAGGGACTCTAATTGATCAAAAATTTATATCCTTTAAGTATAACATGAATGCTGAAAATACTACCACAATAATAGTTTGTACTAATAGCAGTATCCAAACTACTAAAATATTTATATCATAGGACTCTGAGTTAGTTGGATTATGTGTGCAGTCTAGATTTGCATTTGACGTCACTGTCAAATGGTTTCACAGCAACTGTTTAGGAAGAGGATATAGAGTCACCCTGTCAAGTTGAGGATGAACAAGATCAGAAGAACCTTAGTAGATTTAGCCCAGAAAAAGACAGGACACACATGATTAAATATTATTTTACACTGAATATCTTTTCAGATATCTTTTCAGTTAGAACAATATAAAGCTGACAAAATGCTGATTAAATGCTAAAGCTTGAGAGATGGCTACATTTATGATAGGAATAAAACAGGAATAATGCTGAGGTTTTTTTTTAACTTTTCCCTCACTGCATTATTATATTTTAACTTAAGGCAACTTTAACTTTGATGTTTTAAAATAAAGATTATGAATGTTAATGGTTTTGAGATACATATGAGAATTTTTTCTCTTGCCAGGACTTTAACAGTGTATTACATAGATAAAAATATGTCACAGTTACACTATGTCTGTATTTTATCTCTAAAAGGTTATTTTTCTGTTATAATTCTGATAAATTCATAATAGGAAAATAGGTAACATAATTTTGCTTCAAAATAAACTTTACTACAAAGAATTCATTCTGTTAAGCAAAAGCACAACAGGTTATTCATCAGGATTGCTTAATATTTTCTTCTGTGCTAATAAATCCTTTCCTAAGGCAAGGAAAGTACTTTAAATGTTTCTATACTAAGCGGCCATTATGCTTGGCCGGTATACCAAGTAAAAATCTGCAAGTTGCTTGTGCAACTTACAATGGTTAAAACAAAAGCCAAGACAACAAATTTCACCCCCTAAAAGTGTATCTAAATAAACTCTAGACTATCTGTACAGGTTTTCAGAAGTTGTACTTTGGACTATATCCAATAAGCACCTAAAAAAAATTAACTATTTTTCTCATCTGTTCAATATTTCATAAAAAAATCTTTAGTCTAATGGAAAGGATAGCTTTAATAACTGGTCATACTATTTACAAGTGACAGGTCTTTGTGGATGTGGGTTTAAGAGAGAAATTTTTTAAGTTGATGCAATAAAGCACTTGATTTTTTAAAATCCAAATTATGATAAAGTAGACTCAACTGGGTAAGCCTTGTAGAGTGAAGAACTCCCCATATCCAATGCTGTAGAACAAGAAGGAGCAGCTCCAACTACACTTTTAGGAGATGAATTTGCTGACATGGTCATAGTTCTTTCTATGCAACAGAGAAAAGAGCTTCTTTGTGGGAACTGCATCACGTTTCCCTACACCATCCCATAGCACCCTAGAAGGGCACAGAAAAGATTGTAGCTTACTATTAAAGGCCAGTAACCATATCTTGATTTTTTTTCATATCTTGATTTTTAATTAACCAATGATCAGCAAATATGCTTTGATCACTAAATTAGTAAAATATCAGAAGCATATAAAATCACCAACGAAGGTAATTAATTTTAATGAGGCCCTGGTGCTAATCTTATTATATACCTACCAGAAATATTCCAAAAAGAAATAATTCATTTAAAAAATTACATAACACTGCAGAGTATGGATATATCATATAATTCTAACTAGGCTCTGATCTTAGAAACCTCAATTGTTTTCATGTTTCTGCCTCTGTATGGATTATCACAGTAAACAATTTTATACCTCTTTTAAAATGGAAGCATTCTGAATAGTTCTAAGTTTCCAGACAACTTAAAAATAAACTTTTAAAAGAAGTTCAAAACAAACCGTCCGCCCACCACATCCCAACATCATGCAAAGTAGGGATGTTCACAATCACAAAATGCTGTGTTAGTATGTTCTGGTTGTTGGACAATTTTTTTTAGTGAAAATACTTTAATGCTTATTTTTTTGCAAGAATTCTGACAAGGTATTTTACTGACAGCAGCAGGTGGGGGAATATACTTCTTGTATTTTTTCTTTTTATATCATTTTTCCTTACATAATCTATTTAATAAAAGTATCCTCATTTTTTGTGTTTTTACCTCAAAAATATTTAAAAATCTGGGCTTTTGAAAGCATTTAAAACATTTAATCACATACATAGGATATTCTAATCATTTCATTGATGATTAAAAAGAAATTGAACTAAGACAAATTTTTACACTGAAACAATTGAGCAGATGACTCTTCGAAGCCCTAAATTAAGTAAAGAGGTAGCTAAAACCACCTTTTCAGGTTCTACGACTATAAGAAATTATCTGTCATCACAAGGAAAACATAGGTTATGTAAGACCATAATATTTTCTCCCTGTAACTTACAATGTGATAATGGAGGAAAATATCCTGACTGAGGAGACGGGGAGTGGAGATCAATGGAAACGAATTCACACACCACTTATATGCCATCTTAGGAAACCCTGGTTTTTCCTTTTAACATTAGTTTTCCTATCATTTCCATGGTTAAGTTTCCGAGGCACAATGTAGAGATAATTTAGAAATGTACGTGGCTGAGACAGACGATAAATAGGTGCACACAAGGGTTACCTTTGGTTCAGAATGGAGGGCTGCTCTGTGTTCCATCCACCTCCGTTTCCAGTGAGCATGGTAACTTGTTTTGTCAGTTTATTTGAAATGTCTTCACATTTGTTCATAAGCCTTATAACTACATCCCTTTCTTGAATCAGTGTTTTACAGTGCCATATCAAATCTTCTGATAAGCCATTCGTTTTGGACATCTTCGTGAACTATGGCATGAAAAGAAAAATAATTTAACAGTTCAGATCTAGAGTCAAACGGAGAGTCAATCTCAATTTCTTTCTTTGTGATGAAAAAGTTTCTTAAACTTTTATTGATGACCTTCCTAAACCAAGTGCAAAGACAACCAACATTTTCATTTCTCATATTTCTCTTTGATAAATCTGCCATCTTAAACTCATCATGTTGAAATAAAATACATCTTTCTCTACAAAATACACAATCCCAAGCTTGTTACTTTGATTCTAGTAGCTGTTCTCTTATGGGAGAAACTCTAACGTAATTGTTAATGTCTCCTATCAGTCATTTTTTTGCCTTTAAAACTCCATTCATGTCTATTACCAAAGGTAACAATGACAAATGTAATAAATGCAGACCAGATATCTTATTTTTGTTACATCCTATGAATATGACATACAGTCACATGACTATAAGATTAATTTTTCTGAAACATACTTTTCCCTATCTAGCATCAAAGTACAACCCCTCAAGCTTTCAAAACTTCAATTATTGATATTGTCCCTTGATATTTTACCCTAAACTGAGACTAATACTCGGAAAGATACTGCCCGAATCAAAAGTTAACTGTGATCAATTCAATAGCTTGATTAAACTTAAAAATAATATCAATTTTAATACAAGACTTTGATAAATGGCTTTGTGTGAAAACTCAAGAGTTTCTTTCAAAACATATTCATATTTATTTTTCTAAAGGAGATATTGACTACTTCACAATGTAGAAGTTTTAACAGAATTAGAAGTCTTCCACATAGCTTAAAAATAATATACCCTGAAAATCTGTAAAAAAAAAAAAAAAAAAAAAAAAATTTTTAGTGTAAAGGATTAGAAAAAACCCCAGTAGCTATTTGAAAGCTGTTTGTTGGACAAAAAGAAAAATAAACAAAATTCAGAACAGAATAAATCTAACTAAACTAAAACCATCTTATCAAGATAAAACCACACAATTCTGACTCATGACATCTTACTTGGCATAGTTTTTCAAGCTGTAACAAGAACCTCATTAACAACCCCAAATAATCCCTGTTATCACAATATTTCTAAGTTCACAGAGACGCTCAAGCAATAGAAATTTAGTAGAGGATATACTGAGAAAATTTCATTAAAAATACAGTTTATATTAACACATTTTTTTATATCTAACTTAGAGTAAGTTGGTAAGAAATGAAACTTTTAATCTGTTCCAAAGCCATATTATTACTTTACTGCAGGAATAAAAAACAAAACAAAGAATTCAGCATGCCAAAAAACAGCATTGTGAAATACAAAGTTATTTGCACACTACTTTATATTTTCACAAGGATAACAAACATTCATAATCACAATGTAACCTTCCATTTGGTACTTTCAGGGAAACGATTTACACATAAAGAACAGGATATGTAGGAATCAGTGCCTTGAAGATTTTAAGGAGGTTCTATTAGAACTACAGTATTTTTTTAAAATGAAACCCCCCAAAACAATCTCATGTCTATTGTTGGGTATATGTTTGTGATATGTATGTGTGAGAGAGAACAAACAAGAATAGCCAGGAAAAAAAAAAACAAAAGCAACAAACAGTGTGTGCTGTGTATGTGCCGGAGACTGCTGGGTAAGACTCATTAAATCCTCACAACTGCAAGATCAGTCCACCAGTTCCGAATGGATAAATCAAGGCTCAATTCCCAAGGTTACAAAGCAGGATAAAAGACTCCAAAGTCTATGCTCTTTTCACTAAAAACTAGTAACTCCCCAAATAAACAAAATAAACAAAACCGTGAAAGTTAAAAAGCAAAGTTGGTTTTTTTCTGCAACCAACTGCCATTTATTTTGTATTTTATTTTTTAATAAAATAACAATTTTATTTATCACTGCCCTGGCTGGTGAACATACCTGGTATACAGACAGATTCCCTGTTCTCATGTGGTTTACAGTCATTGGGAAAGACACACAACATACAATTTTAAGTGTTAACAACTGGTATTACAAGTTGTTCAGTCACTAAGTTGTGTCTGACTCTCACAAGGGAAAAAAAACAAAAGTTCATGGGTATGATATGATCCAGGAAGTCCTTTCAGAGTAATAAGGCCAGAAATCACAAAGAACAGTTTTGACTCAAAAAAGATCAATTTAATATGTCAGAACCTAGAGAAGTAAAAGATAAACATACATTAAACAAACAACTATCCAAACATTACCAATTCCTGATGAAAGAACACATCACCAACCATTTAATAGTACTGGTGGGAACATCTAATTCTGTTACTTCTAATTCCACAGAAAATATAACCAGAAAAGCCCAGACTGGGAAGCTATAGAACAAATGATACAGTTTCTTCACCAAAGATTACAGGAAGGGTTGGGGCAGGAGGGAGGGAAAGAGGCAGAGGAAGGTGGTGGGAGATGGGGAATGGAGGAGAAGGGAGGACAGATGGAACAAGCTCCAAGTGGGTAACTGAAACTGGCGATGAGTACACAAAGGTTTGCTACACTATTCTAATTTTTATGTCTGATATTCTTGTAGGGGCAATGATGGGGTGTGCAAAATGCAAATCATTTCACAATGCTGTAACAGTCTGATTGAGACTTAGTGGACTTGACATTTTGGATATGTCAAGTCCCTGAGCTGCTCACACTCTTTATCCCTCTTTCCATACAAGACAAGCAACATTAGAGATGATCCAAATTATTGCTGTTAATTTAGCATTTAGATCTAAGTAGTGATACACTGTCAATGAATGTAAGACATCAGTTTCATTTCTCATCAGAAAGAGAAAAAAGTTTCACTGTTTGATAAATTTGCTAATATTAGCTTTAGTAATAAGTAATAGTAAACGCAAAACATCTCTCTCATGTAAATGAAGACTCTAGGGAGCAGTTCAGTTCTGGTAGAGTCGTTCCAAAAACCAAAACTTCTACTTTGTTGCTTCAATATCCTCAGCATGTGGTTGCCAACATCACACCAACAGGAAGAAGAGATCCTTTAAGGACTTTTTTCAAAAATCACAGTATACTTCTGTTGTATCTCACTGGACAGGAATTTGTCAAGTTACCAAAGGGAGGCTGAAAGAAGTAGTCTTAAATATACTGGGGGTAATGTCACCAGTCATAAACCTGTTTTAAAGCATAGAGTGGGTTAAAAAGACAGAAAAATGATTTGATTCAAAAAAGTTTGACTCAATATGTCTAGAAATGACACTGATGGATGAGTAGAAAACTGTAATGGTTTCTTAACATTTCACTAATAATATATTGTGGGTATCTGAAGTTAACTTTTTTCAAGAGACAGACAACTGAACAGGCATGCACTTTACAATCCTTAGACTGCTCCACTGGTCAGTACCATATTTATAGATGAAGAAATAGAGGAACAGAGAGAGAATTTGCTTAAGGTCATGTAAGCTGCTAGAAAATGTCAGAACTGGGATTTAAAACAAGGCCATTTAGCTCTCAGAGAAGGCACTGGCACCCCACTCCAGTACTCTTGCCTGGAAAATCCCATGGACAGAGGAGCCTGGTAGGCTGCAGTCCATGGGGTCGCGAAGAGTCAGACACACGACTGAGTGACTTCACTTCCCCCTTTCACTTTCATGCATTGGAGAAGGAAATGGCAGCCCGCTCCAGTGTTCTTGCCTGGAGAATCCCAGGGACGGGGGAGCCTGGTGGGCTGCCGTCTATGGGGTCGCGCAGGGTCAGACACGACTGAAGTGACTTAGCAGCAGCAGGCATTTAGCTCTCTATTATTCAATCACTTCCTAGTAGGTATTTATAAAACCAAGGGACTAAATAGGAAGCATGAAACACAAAGAGAGAAAAACAAGTTTCCTCAGGATGTCAGGGAAATCAGACCCCAATGGCACAACTGATCATTTGACCTATAAACAAGCACTCCAAACCAGAGCACGTCTTAAGACTCCAGAAGACTTTCAAAGAGACAAAACTGATAAAATATCTGAAGTGTTTAATAACTGAGGGGAAATTTAGACAACTAGGGAAGAGTCTAGAATTGAAGTAACAAGTATAAATACAAAACTAAGAAAAGAGAAAAATCAAGACAGCTAATAACTAAGGAAAACAAAATATTGAGCAAGGGGGAAAGAAAGCAATCATGCTTCTATCACAAGGTTCAGTTATGAAAGGCATTTGCATAGTCTAACGAAGTAGATACTAAAAAAAGATTTTCAAAATTATCACATGCTTAACATATTGCTAGGCCTGGGAAATGGGCATGTGAGACAGACAGTGAGAAGAGAGCTAATACTACCACAACGCTATAATGTCTTGTGTCATGTCTACAAGTAAGGCCTGCAAATGAAAAATTTGGAAAAGCATTATGCTTATATTACCTAGAGATATAAAAGTGATAAGAATCAGGCACGATGTGGAAGCAATTATTTGCAGTACAAGAAATGGGCTAGGAAGTGGAGGGATATGGATTTTCAGGGAGAACAAGTCTGTAGAATTATTTAACCTGTTTATCTAAATATATGCATAAATAATAAACATTAAAAAAATCCAACATTTAATTTCAATTTCAAAATATTTTCATCAAGTGTGTGAGGAGGCAGGGGAGATGGGCATCTCCCCTTAAGAAAAGATGTAAGAAAACTACTGTTATGTCACTGCTCTGAAGACAAAAAGCACTTAACAATCCTGTAAGTTACTTAGCTTCACTAAAACAAGATTTAAGAAATACAAAGTACTCTGTAAAAGCAGGATCTACTAAGAAATCTAAAGTTATTGATTAGCATAAAAATATGACCCTAATTACATAATGTGAAATATACAAACGTACACATAAACAGATGGATACTCAATGAATCTTAAGTGGCGACTATATTTGATAGAATTTTGGCTAAACTTGACTTTTTTCTTCTTGCATGTACTGTTTCAATTTTAGACAAAAATTCTTCAAAAAAAAAAAAAGGATAAAGCTATTTCTTTCAGAGGGAAAGAAAAAGTAATTGATACTTAACTGGATAACTTCAAGAAAAAAGAACATCAACACGGCCCTGATTACCATCTTTTTGATTAAAAAGTATTCCTTTAAGGCCTTTAATGTTTTTAAAATAGTCACAAACGGAAGTACCTATCTCCTGCCACCATGTGTCGCTCTTACAGCATGGGTAGCTGAATTTCTCTAGGAAGGGGAAAATCGTTTCAAAGCAGATTTAATTCCCCACCTGCATAAAAAGTGCGACAGCAGCTTACAAAGTACTCAAATGCATATGTAGTTTCAAAATAAATATTTATCAAACTTATAAAAATGAAAACAAAGCCTGAATACAGCAATCTTACTCATTTTACTGAAGCCACGCTATCAGTAAGTAGTACACATTACAATGCATCGAGTGACAAATTCACAGACATTTTACAATAACCACCAGGAAAACAAAGCAAAAGAAAACTTGTAATATAAGTTACTAGAGGGTGGGAGCAGCACAAGGAGGAGCTTAGCGTTTCCACATGGGATAAACCTTGTTTGCTTGGTTAACAGTCGAAGAAAACTGCATTTATACTGATCTAAATGTTATGGAAGTAAATGCATACATGAAAACGTTTTAGGTTGAGTTATTTACATAGAGTTAGCTACTCACGAATTTTCAATTGATCAGTATACACTACCGTTCTGATTAAAGTATAAATGTGCAACATGTAAGATTATCATAGACATAATAGTATCTCCACCTTACTTTGCACAAAGCTAAATAAAAATTCAGTAAGTGGTGGATGAACTGGTGCCATCAAATGTGTGAAATCTGGCAATAAAACCCCCAAATTTACCACATTAACAGTATATGCTTTTAAACTAATAACATTTTGGCTGGTTATATTCCCAAAATCAACATGATTTAACGACATGGCTTCTCACCATAAGCACATACTTTACTGCTATTAAGCAGAAAAATAAGAGTAATGGAAAAACTAGGAGGATAATTTGACAATCTTTAGATTTTGATTTTTAAAAAGGATATAAAGCTGCAAACCTAAATACCCTCACATAATGCACTTATTTTGTTAAAAAAACATAATTTTCCTCATGTAAAATAAGGTGACTAGAATATCTCAGAGTATTTTTTAAAAGTGTACTTCTCTGACAATAAAGTCATATCATATTGTTCAACTTTACAACTTTTGTTTTAAAAGACACTAAGATAATTTTCACACTCTAATTTTATAATAAAATAAAACAATGAAATACTAATGATTACATTTAACCCATAAACGTTATGGAGGCTGTCATCTTGGCAAAAATCATAATTAAAATATATGTGTATACTCGATTTATTGGCTCAGTTTGCACTGTAATGAAATATCTAATGAGTTTTTAAAGTTCTGCCAAATTTTCCAATCCTTAAGACTAAAATAAGCTTCAACAATAATGTCTAGTTTACTAGACATTTGTATACTGCTCTTAATATACATAATGCCTTGCAATTTTCACTGAAGTATGACTGAGGGACATAATTAAAATTTCAACTAATACTCATAGGAATTTATAAAAATAGTAGTTATGAAAACAAAGGTAAATGCTATTTCTTTTGTTTCTTTTTGAAGTAGCTCACAGGTGTGTTAGCAAGCTTCTCTGATTAATAGGGAAGGGGTAAACTATAACATATGCATTTTCTTTTTTTTACCAAAATGTACATAATATTGACTTTCCTTTAATAACTTTAAGACATTAAATTGCTCTTTAAACTAGTCTCATTCAAAATTCTAAAGTAACTGAAAGGAGAAGCTTAAAGTCCTAAACAAATTAAAACACAAAGCTCATACACACTGACTTGCTAATATTAACTGTTCATTTCCCAAAAGTTACATTTACTAACTTTTACTAACATTTACTAACTTTTCCCAAAAGTTACATTTACTAACTTTTTTTTAACTGAAGCACTGTATATGCTAAACTCAAGTGGCCAAGTTTGCTTTTTAACTGCTATATAAAACAATCAACATAAGATGAATGGCTAGTGAAAACAGTCTCTGTATTCAACTCTAAGAAAGGGGGCAAGATGCTTTAGGAGGTTTAAGTAGATAATCTCTAAATTCATGTCAAGACTAATTTAAACTATGCCAATTAATTAGTAGGGGAAATATGCTTTCTACATGCTAAGTTGCTGAATATTTTAAAAGCATCTGGGACATATCACTCTGGTATAATTTACTGTAAGATATGTGGGCAAGTGGTTACAGTGACTAAACATACTGGCACAGATAATTGCATTCCTTATTAAATAAATCAGAATCCCAACAAGCCTGAGCAACCCAACTCTGCAACAACATAGGAGACCATTCAAGATTAAAAGAAAGCAGAAAAGGAAGAAAAGAAGAACAAGAAAGCCCTTCAGCAAATACTTTAACAAATAAATCACTTAGGCAAAGCCAAACAAGTTTGAAAGGGCCTGCTTTGACAGATGTTCTCTGTAAAAGCAAAAGCTTTAGGCAAAATGAATCTCTTTATTTATTTATTTTCAAAGTCACAGAATATTAGTAATGTTGTTTCTTTATTTTTCAAATATTTTAATTTCTCAAAAAATGCTATTTAATAGCCATTGTTCAGGGACCTTCCCCCACTGCCACTTCAAGATACTCATCAAGGGAACTTAGGTTCACACAGATTTGACCAAGTACAAAATTAATCACAAAGCAACTTAACTCCCTAAGTTAATAAAACTTAAAACTTTATAAAGCATCAAGAGTTACTTTATATTCTAGAGCTATTAAAAAATCATCTATATTGCTTTCACAGCAGGGCTTGTTTAAAATTCATGCTCGAAAAGCCCACATTTTCATAAAAGATAAAGCAAAATTTAAAAGACAAGAGTTCTTATTTTTCTCTGTATGAATAAGATTTGCTGACTGTTGACATTTATAAAACTCAAAATACAGGTATTTTAGATAAAACTTGTTTACAGGAAACGAAATCCCAGAGAATGATCATGCAAAGTGTACTTACCAATGCTTATGCCTTCCCTTCACCTAACGCTTGAATTCTAGGCTTCCACACACTTTTCTATCTTTCCACTTAAAAACGCTGCAGCCTGCTACACTCCATAAAATGGCCACGTTGTTTAACCAAGAAAAGCATGTTAGAGATTGAGCTGTCACTTTTAAAAGAAAAAGAAAATAAACAACTGCTTCTTTTGTGGTGAAGCATAAAACACTTAGGCTGGCATTTTGAATCATGGAGCTCCCCTGGATGTTGCTATTGCTCTTCAAGTAGTTGTAAAATTTTGCCACATTCTTGCTTTCTGCATGGTGTCTCAGCAGTAACAGATCAGAACAGGCTAGCAAACAACTCCTTCCTTAATGGTAAGCTCTAATTTCTTCTTCTGCAGTTAAATGAACCAAGTTTCTGTGCAAAAAAATGAGTGACAGTATGCCCAGCCAATCAGCTTGGGGTTTTTCAGGAAAATCACCCCCTAATTCATTCAAAATAAGGTCAGATGACACTATTTGAAATACTATTGGCTTAGAATGATAAGTAATGTTTGACTCTACACAGGGTAAGGCCACCCCATCTATGCTTCCCTGGGCTGAAGACACCTTGACTATGAACGGTACAGTGAAAACACACACATACACACACACAGGGAAAAAAAATGTAGCCTTACCAGAGCTTCCCAACTATTAAAGGGCCGGAGTTCTGTTATCTTCTGAGCCTTTTTCTGAGAACACTGAGGAATCAAAGTAAGTTCACCAATTGAAGCATCTTGAAGGAAGTGAAGGATTTTACCTTTATAGCCATCCTCCATCACTTCTTCACCACTACTATAGTCCTCGTCTAGTGAACTACCGACATCAGAGCCTGAATCATATTCAGAGTCTTCAATAACTCTTTTAGGATTAAATACATTTTTTTTACGTTTCTTGTTATAACCATTTTGTGGTTTCATGGAGCATTTCTGTTTCAGTTTTGTTTTAGCTGCATTTTTAGGATAATTTTGATTTCTTGAAGAAACCTCTTTTCCATTTGGAAACTCACTCGGTGAAGCATATTGCATATCTGAGTACAAAGAGAGACAAAAATAACTATATTAGAAAGATATAAATTAAATATAAAGATATAAGACTTAAAGATTTCATATAAGAAAAATATTTACAATGGTATTCATGTGTTTTTCAATGCAGAATTCAATCACAATTTATTGTTAAATCTTGATTTTCCTTAAAGAGAAATATTGAAGTAGAATTTGAAATTATACAATGAATTGAAATATAGTTTCAAAAACAGGTGATAACTTCTTTCTTAAAATGAATTAAATATAAATCCTCATTTTCTATCAAAGATCCTGAGAATATAAAAGGCAGCTGCATATACATAAGTCACCCATGATGGTATTTAGCAGTCCCATCCCCAGGCCAAAACTGATGGTGTTAGAAAAACAATGCTCGTCCTAAATTAAAACTATCCATTTTATAATTAATTTTCCCATCACCCATCTCCACTATTCTAGGTTCATCTTTACTAAAAGTCATTTAAATATACTATTAAAAAGCACCACCACTTTATCACTGATTAATCTATTATATTCCATGGATTTCTAAGATGTCTGTGATTGAAGGTACATTTATTTTACATACTAGTAAGAAATATGAACAATTGATCTATAACCATTATTTTATTATCTAGAATGTTTTACCTACTCAAAGAGCTTTGAGACTTGCACATTTTCATACATTCATTTTTGTACATGTATTAAAAATTAAGAAAAATAAATTGAATTTCTTCACATTTCTTCACATTCATAATCCTTCTTCTCTGAATCTTATTTTGTACTCAGAACTGATGATATTGGTGGCTTTCTTTTCTCCACACAATACCATTCTCTGCATTAAGAGCACTTGTTGTACAGCATTACCTAAAATAATCCATTAATAAAAACAACAAAAAACCTACAGCCATTGTGTTGGGCTTTTAAAAAACTGGCTTTGCAATTAAGAGCTAGTCTACTTGATTCCTACTTAAGAATGTTACTAAACATGTGTGGTTCAACTTTGCCCCACTATTTCTCTACCCTTAAGTTACTAAAGTTAAAAATATTCCACTATGGGATCAGTGCCTTTCTTCCATTCCAGTGACACTCACCTTATAAGTTTCTGATACTGATGCTTTTGATATTCATGTAGTGTAGGTGAGAACATCTATCTTACAATGATTACAAGGAATACAGGGAACTGGTTTCTAATATCTCTTGCAATCCCATTCTCTGGTTATTAACTAATAAGTTTACTATTTTCTTACATACTAAAATATAATATATTGGGAAGTATGAATTTTCTATAATAATATAGAACAGATAATTACCTTGGTCTTCTGCAAATACTTTTAAAGATTCTAAAGCCTCTGTGTACATCCATTCATGTTCCTTGAGTACTTCCCTTAATTCCTAGAAATAAGTCATTGATCTTTTTATTAAAAATCTAGAATTAACGACTTGTTGAAAAGAAAAGTTTTATACTTTAAAAAATAAATCACTTAAAAACTTAAAAGAATTCATATCTGATGATTTCACACTTGCTTTTATGTTGCTCTTTACAAATGCTTTCTGTATATATAATTTCACTTCCGTAAATATACAACAGTCTTTCTTCAAAGGGAAGGAAGCTTGACAGTTTCTGCATTTCTACTCTTGCTATGGAGTACTCTGAATACCAGAATATCAAAACATGTTTGCTCAGTTAAACTTTAACATGCAGTTAAGCTTTTTCATAAATTGATAACTTCAAAATATAATTTGAACATATGTAAAGAACCAGTATAGCAACAAGACTTTCCTTCAGCTCATCAGAATTTAGCAGATGTGCATATACTTGAATAAATCAATACAGGTATAAATGTATTCCCACTGTGAAACAAATAATGTGTTTCCAAGTACAATATGATAAAACAGAGGCTCTTTTAGTAATGGCATGCTTGGCATGGGTCTTTACTGAATCTGAAAGTATTTTTACTATCTAGCAAATAAACCAAAGATTATGGAATATCAAGGCACTAAAATGCATTATTACACTTTAAAATTCTTTACGAAAAATCAAAGGTTGAGAATATGAAGAAAACTAAAAGAAGTGACTTGGGATTATAGATGACTTTGCATTTTATATATGAGTTGACAACTATTACTACAGTTATACTTGTTATGCTTACACGATGTTATCATTATAGCGTTGATATTATAGTATCAAAGAGGCAAATAAACAAGGCAAATAAACAAGTTATACAAATATATTTTATAATATTGATAAAGCGTTAAATGAAATATAACTAAATATAATTAGAAAAATGCAAAAATCACTCTAAGCTTTTCACGTGGTTGACCTCAAAGACTATCTGTTTTGTAATACAAACAGCACACACTGATTAAATACCTATACATGAGTACTCACCTCTTTATCAAAATTGGGAAATTCTTTTTGCAATTTCAACACAATACTTTCCTGCTTTTCCCAGTTACTGCTAGATTCTGCAGATTCATTTGACTCTTCTCCCTAATGGGGACCAAAAAAAAAAAAAGAGAACCAGTTTAAGAGATCAGGAAAAACAGTCTTAAGGCAATCACATTTGTACTTTGACTTGATTTGAAAGCTTTCACATTCAGTCAAGAAGAATTCAAAAATGCTTCTTTCTGTTTATGTGCAAGTTGACAAATTTACATCTTAAGAATAAAAATATTACTGGTTTAAGATCACTCAAAGACCCTGAATTTTTCAGGCAAGAATACTGAGCAGGTTGTCAAGTCTTACTCCAGGGGATCTTCCCAACCCAGGGACTGAACCCATGTCTCTTGCATCTCCCAAAATTGGCAGGTGGATTTGTTACCACTCTGCCACCTAGGAAGCCCACCACCCTCAAATTCTGGGGTCCACCACTTGCATGAATTATATGGGGGTCCAACCTGAAGCATGCTGAAAATTTTACTTTAAAAAAACAAAAGATAAATGGCTGGACATTGCTGCCTCTGAGAAAGAGGTACAACACTTTAGTCGGCCTCTTGGGATGCTGGAGGCAAGGTACACTTCAGTTCAGTGTATGCTGCTCTGATCTGTTTATGAAGAATCCATAAGACTGTTAGGAATGGGGCCTAGATTAAGAGAAAGGCTTTGGAGTAGGTCCAGGATGCAATGCAAGTTCTTTGCCACTTGGGTTTTGTGACCAGCGAGTAGACGCAGTGCTTCTCAAAGAATCTGTGGCTCATGAGGATGCTGTATAAAGTCTCTGGCAATCCCCAACAGGAAAATTACGGCAGAGACCCATGTGGCTTCAAAGAAAGGTCATGTCCTCTTCTGCTGACAACTACAGTCTGTTCCACTACAACATGACACATCCATTTCCAAAAATTATTGCACCATGCAAAATCATGAAAATAAAAAGCCACTGGGTTGAGAAAAATTGTGTTAGAGGTATCACGTTCAAGAACTTCATTAGTGACCCACTGAAAAAAAGAACGAAAACTTAAAAGAAGGATAGTGCAATTTTACACATTAAATGATTAAGAAATGCATAAATACTCCCAATAAATATGAACTCAAGTCTGTTTGGAATGTTAGCATTGGAAGGGCTATAGCTTATGAGTTACTATGAAACAGTAGATGAAGAGTTATTTGAAAATGAACAGCAATGGAAAGACATGCCTCACTGTCCTTGTGTCATTTCTACTATATGGCTGAAAATATAAATATTAAGCAAATAAAAAAATAAGCAAATAAATGAAATCAATAAATTTCAGCTACTTTGCTAGCCTCCTGTTCTCATATTAAAAGTGCCTGGAAGGTTGAAGATTCAACTGCATGCCATGCACAAGTCTCCTACTGTGTTTAGCATTAAAACCAAATTTGTATCTTCACATCAGTACAATTGTTTTCAATAACGTTTAAAACACTGGTTAACACTGCTAATCTGTCATGGTACAGCTTTTCGATTTTCACTGCTGCTGTCCTCAACATCATCTACATCCACATGGTATCAGCAGGAAGTCTTTATGGTGAGATAAGCAGGGTGGGACCCTAGCTCTTCAATATCCTCATTTTCTATCTCCTCAAATCCAATCTGTTTTCCTAAATCAACAACTTGCTGTGAATTTGAAACATTTCTCTGAAGGTTCAAGTTCTTCAAAATCACAAGTCACTGTGAAGAAAACTTTTCCACAATACGTAACGCAAACACTCTTCTGCCATCAGTCGAGGCTCCTAAAAATGCTGGCAGTGACTACTCCAAAGCTAAGTTTCTCAAAATTCTAAAACCATATTTGTATCCTCACCTTCAATTACAATAATTAGTATCGTAAATGCTCACTTTAAATAGTAAGTCATAAATGCTGCTAACACATTTTTACTAAAACACTGTATCAGAGAGTGGTTTTTGGAGGCAAAAGAGAAAACACTGGGGTTGGGTTCGGCTTCTACAGAGGGACAGGCTTGAGGATTTACAAAAATTTTAAAAGCTAAGTGTTTTCATTTGGGTCCTGTTTTTGCAATAATTCTCTATAACAAAGAAGAATTAAGTAAATATATCAATGCAGATTTGGCCGGTCCATCCATTTTTGCTACAGTTATAGTGAACTCCAAGACTGACTTGAACAATTCTCTTAAGAGATTCAGTTTGTTAAGTCATAAACTACCACTGGGCTTCCCTGGTGGCTCAGTGGTAAAGAATCTGCTTGTCAAAGCAAGAGACTTGGGTTAGATCCCTCGGTTGGGACGATTCCCTGGAGAAGGAAATGGCAACCCAGTCCACTATTCTTGCCTGGGAAATCTTATGGACAGAGGAGCCTGGTGGGCTCCAGTCCATAGGGTTGCAGAAGAGTTGACACAAACAACTGGCAACTAACCATCAATAACAAAACTACCACTGGCTTCAGCTTCAAATCTCTACCTGGAGTTGGTGCTGAATATCACAATACTGGTACTTTTCAAAGCTTTAAATTCTAGAGTACATTTCCTGACTCTCAGATTTGAGTCCTTTGATGCATGTGTTCATTAACAGATACCCATTTCATCAAAATTAAGAATTCAATTCAATATACAAGCTGCCGTGTCAGTTTACTGCTGCACCACTGCTGTAAACTTCTTCTGTAGTTTCCTCATCTGCACTCATCACTTGGTGTGACAGCTGATGGCCTCAGAATTTGTGACATCACTTAAAAATACTAAAGCAACCACTACTGACACTAAGAGAAGGCAGGATATGGTAATTTCCCATTTAAGATCGTTATTATGCACATATAAAGGTACACATGAAAATGGCTGTTTCGGATTTCTTCATGCTTTGGTCTTTAATCCAGATGTTGAATCATTTTCCCTTTCATTTCTTCATGCCTCTTTTTATTGACTTCACAGTAAGGCGGCCCAGCCACATACTTTCATTATTTGTGGCACTCTGATGGTCTACAATGTGGATTCCTTTATGCCTGTATCTACCACATGTTCTCATTTCTTTCCAAACATTTGTTTCAAGCCTCTCCTCACTCAATACTTTCCCTTTTTTTATACATTGCCTGGTATCTTTTTCTTTTTGGCCGTATCCCACAGCATGTGGCGTCTTAGTTTCCCGACCAGGGAAGGGACCTGTGTCCCCTGGCTTGGGCACTGTGGAGTCTTAACCACTGGACAACCAGGGAAGTCCCAGCTTGGTATTTTTGAACCACAATGTTTAAATATGTTTGAGATGTTGAAAGAGTGCTTCCTTCAAATAGAATACTTCACAAATGTGAAAGAAGAGCAAAACACACACTTGTGAGAAAACAAAGATGGTAAAATGAGGCAGTTAGTAGATGTCTAAGGTATGCTCACTTCCTTCCGAAGTGGCCCAGGTCAGCTGGGTGCAGTTTTCTTAGTCATCTACCTTGTGTTTCTCATGGACAAACTTGTATAGAAACAACACAAAATTCAGGTAATACACAAATTATTCTCTAATATATTCACTGCACTGGAACAAGCTACCATTTTTAAAACAGAATTAACTGACCTCTCTTTGTGAAATAGTTCTTGGCTTGAAAGGGGGGGTCCTGACAAGACCAGAATGGTTGACATGGAGTATCAAGTGACCATGAGACGTGAGCTGTTATGTGACCCGGGTGTGTGATCTGCCAAGACTGTATCTGAGCGTGAGCAGCAGCATCCCATCCTTAAGTGGAAAAGGTGATGGTGTATTTGAGACTGGACTTAAGCAGGTTCAGGAAGCACAAATAAGCTGCATATACAGGTGTCTCAGACTCCCATGTGACTGAATTCTGCTTTACTGTTGCCCCTCCATCAATAACATCTACTGCACTATGGGAAATTCTTCATGATCAGATAAAGTGGGAGAAAAATCTTAAACTTGTTTTACAAAGAGTTTACATAATTCTTAGTTAGAACCAGCTGAAAGTGAACAATATAACAAAATTCCACTTAAGACAGCAGTGCCGTACACAACTTTGGGTAGTAAAACTTATTGTCCATTTTATATAGAAAGAGATGGCCAGAAGTACAGATAAATGATTTATCACAGACAGTAGCTCAGCAGAAGAATGAGAGTGGAAGATCAGTGACCAGAAGTCTGGGGAGGAGGTGCACTATTGAACTTAGAGAAGTTTTTCTGAGAACAAAATATAAGGGTAAGGGCATCCCATATGAATGCTCAGCAAAGGATGTCTAATGTATAGGAGTTTTTAATAATCATGGGGACAAGATAATTCATTCTGTGAACCAAAATAAGATTGCAGCCACTTGGATGCATGCTCAATGTGTCTATACACAAGCGACCATAGCAACATAGACAGTCTGTGCATGCAGATCAATAAGACTTTCTCACATCAAGATTTATCTGGCTATGGCTACTAGTGAGGACTTGACCTGCCAAGAGCAGAGGCCAACAATGAATTTCCATGACAGTGAGACCCATTCCTTGGGAGATTCAGTCAACTGTCTAGTGGCAAGTTGATGACATTTAATCCCTTTCATCATGAAAGGGACAGTTATAAGAAATTTACTGTGAGTATGGATTAGCCTTTCCTACCCACCTGGATTTGGCAACAGCAGTTATAGACTGAACTGTGTCCCTCCAAAGTCTTCTGTTGAATAATGCCCAGTACCTCAGAATATGACCTCATCTGAAGACTGGCTCTAAGTAATTATTACTGAGGTAATCAAGTTAAAATGAGGTCATTAGGGTGGGCCCTAATCCAATGAAGAAGAGGAAATCTGGAGATAGACAAGCACATAGGGAGCATGCACTGTAAGGATAAGGCAGAGTTCTACAGGTCAAGGAACATCAAAGACTGCCAGCAAACCACCAGAAGCTAGTCACAGAGGGATGGAACAGCCTTTAGAAAGAAGCAACCCTTCTAATATCTTGATCTTGGACTTCTAGCTTCCAGAACTGTGAGACAATATATTTCTGTTGTTTAAGCCACTCAGTTTGTGGTCCTTTGTTACAGTGCCCCTAGGAATCCAATGGCATCACATGCAGATATATAAAAAGCTTAATCGCACTGTCACACAGCAATCAATGCTTCTGACCAGGGGAGCCAATTTCACTGAAAGAAAAGTACACCAAGGGATTCATGCCCAATGAAATTCACTGAACTTACCATGTGTCTCAATGCCTAGACGCAGCAGGCTTACAGAGCAGTGGTATCACTTAATGAAATTAAGAATGTGAATTTGTTGATAACACCCTACAAGGCTAATGTGCTATTCAACAGACGTAAAAGCAAAGTGAATGCTTTGAATCAGCCATCAATAAATATGATACCATTTCTTCCATGGCCATTATACATAGGTTTATAAACTAAATTGTGGGCCTAATCTCTTATACTAGTGGTTATTCAAACCTAAAACTCAGAAGTTTTACTTCCTACCAAGGAAAGAATACCTCTATGGAGGGACACAACAGCTGTCCCATTAAATTAGGGTGGAGACTAAATTAGGCAAAGAAAGGGGTTACTGTGTTAATTGGGGTGACTGACTTTGATCACAAAAAAGAAACTGTGCTGTCATGAATACAGACACGGAGGAGTATGTCTAGATTCACTGGGAGGCCTCTTAGTAAATCTATTCCATAAAGTAAAAGTTAACAGAAAACTACAATAACCCAGTAAAAGTATAACTATTATTATATTTAGATAAGCAGTTAAACATCAAAGGAGTCATCTACAGGAATTATAAGTAGTTGTCACTGAGGAGTTTGAAATGGTGCTGCCGCTAATGACAACTGTTTTATGTAAGCGTTGTACAATCATATGTATATACATATACATTTATAAGATAAAATTTAAAGTATATTTTTCCCAAAAGTTACTTTACCACACCACTAGAATATTTTTAAAATCAGTTTTATGACTCAGAGATAAGCAATTAATACTGCTGTGAGAGACAAGACTGATTCATTGAGGTGTACTTTTAGTATATTCAGATTCAACACAGTCTGTGCATAAGCAGCTAATTTTGATGCTGCAATTCAAATGTAACTCACATGATCCAGTCTCTTCTTTTTCATAGATTGATCATCATTAAATTCATCTTCCTCGAATGGCTCTGAAGAAGAAGATAATTTTCTTTTCCTGGGTCCACCACCTTCTAAAACAAGACAAGGACGTGCAAAGTTCACACTGATATAGTATAAGAATCATAAATGTACATGTAAATCCATGGCTAATTCATGTCAATGTATGACAAAAACCACTACAATATTGTAAAGTAACTAGCCTCCAACTAATAAAAATAAATGAAAAAAAAAGAATCATTAATGTAAAAACAAGGGCAAACTACACTTAATAGACAGGTCTCTTGATATCAGGACAATATTATTTCTTCGACATATGATATACATTCAATAAATGTTAACTGCATTGAAGGAAAAATAAAGAGGGATCCTTTTCAGAGTTTCAAAAGTAGAAATCACTGTAAGACTATATGTATTTATAAACTATCACATTATTTAATGCTAATGATATATATCTTTGAATTGACAAGTAATTCTATAGTAGAAAGAAGAGGTTTTCCTCAATGACTGAATGTTCAGTAGTGAAAAAAATTGAGCCCATCAGCTTATCTGAATAACATCAAATAACTGTCAATAATTAAGTATGTACTATGTACCAGGCTTTGCAGAGGCTTTTATAAACTGCTGTTTCATTTACTTTCCACAACAAATCTACCAAGTAAATATATACTTATTTTACCAATTAGGGGGAACTGAGAAACAGAAATCAAGAGATGAATGCTTTTAACCTAAAAACAAGACAGCACAACACAAGAGAGTGTTGTATGACAGTAATGGGAAATGTGCACATTCTGTCACGACTGACAGGAAAACTCAATCTACATGATTTGGAAAAGCTATGTCACTTATGTTTTACTTTGTATACATTCATATACTTCTTCAGTACCTTGACTTTCAGAGGGCAAATTCCAGAGACATACTGCAGCACTTGTATGAAAATGTTTGCTGAAAGCTTACAAAGGTTTAAGATTTCAGTATTAATTGTATCAGTACCCTAACTATGCAGTTAGAAATAAAAGTTGTAGGAATATTCAAAATAAGTACAGACACAGCAGCTTTTAAGCTATAAGCATGAAAATGTCATAATATGACTATAACCAAATTGAATGCAATCAACATCTCAATGTATAATAATTACATGCTTTAAGTATGCATGCTTAAACTTTTCCCCCTTTATTTCATAAAATAAACGTGCATTCTGCATAGACCAACTAATTGCTGGCATCCATTCTATCATCACCCACATATCTGCTGGGGTTAAGTGACTACCATTCAGTTCAGTTCTGATGCCCAGTCATGTTCAGTAATTAGGCATATTACTAACGACTACCATTCTAATATTAAGAGTTTCAAACTAGGTGATTACACCATGTCACCTAGATATGTTTAACCCTTTCTTAAAAAAAAAAGCATATTTAAAACATAAAAAGTAAAACATGAAACTGCAAAAAAGAAAATATGAACAAAGAACACTAACAGGCAATTCAATAGGGGAAAAAGAAAGAAAAAAGATGATCAACATCATTAATAACTAAAGACAGGGAAAATACAGTTCCCTTTTTTCCATCCTAAGATTAAAAGGAGTAGTAAAAGGAAGTCATAGCATACTGTGGGCAGTCACATTAAAACATTATAAACTGTTATAGCCTATCTGGAAGGCAATCTAAGTAACACACCTCAGAATTTTACATGTGTGTGTCTTTCAGTTCAACAATTCTTTTTCCAGGAATTTACTCACAAAACTGAGGGAGAATGGTTACTTATGCATACATAAAAATTTTTACCTAAGCATTTAAGTGCATGTCAATAAGCTATTAGACAAGTCAGAATACACTGTTGTAAAGAACTGAGCAGACTTTTAGAAATAAATATGGTTACAAAACAGCAAAAAAAAAAAAACCCAGAATCATAGTCACATAAAAATGTTTTTACCTACTCTTATACTGACACATATATAGAGAACTGGGGCTTCCCTAGTAGCTAAGATGGTGAAGAATCTGCCTGCAATGCAGGGGACCCAGGTTTGATCCAGGGTTGGGAAGATACCCTGGAGAGGGGAATAGCAACCTACTCCAGTATTTTTGCTGGGGAATCCTATGGAGAGAGGAGCCTGGGGAGCCCCAGTCCATGGAGTTGCAGAGAGTTGGACATGACTGAGCAACTATATATGCGCTGAGCACAAATATACAGAAGTGGAAGAACTAGCTAGATTCCTGACGACATCAGTAAATTCATATTTTTACCATTTAAAGTAGGGTAAAAACTTTGGATGCATATTTTTGTCTTTATAACATAGTATTCATAAATGAAAACATTCAGAAGGCAATGTAAAGAACATACCTTAATTGTTTAATATGCAGGATGATACTGCATATAAAAGACTGTATTTTGTGGTAAAACCAATGTCCAACATCAGAATTTGGAGACTCTTTGTAGATTTATAGAACTGTCCAAGGCATTTAAAAAGACCTTCTGTTGGTGAGACAAAGCTGTCATTCTATACATTACCTGAAGAGTGTACTATACCGAAGATGATTGATATGACTATCCATTCTAAGAAGAAGCATGGAAGTTTACTTAAAAAAAAAAAAGAAAACCTTAATTTCTTCTTTCCTTATAATTTGCCATTTGACAATATATTCAAGAAAAAGAAATAATACCAAAGTCTAGTACAACAATGACAAGTAAAACAACTCCGCTAAAGTTCAACTTTAATAAGTCCTGTAAACTACATGTGGGCAGAGGTTTTGTCCATTTTGTTTCAGCATGTACCCTCCATGCCTAAAATAGCATCTGGCATCTAGTAATAGAAATATACTAAGTATTTGTTTAATGAATAAAGCTGAATAATACAAATTGCTCAAGACAAAAAAAGACCACACATTGCTGTGCAATAGTTATTTAACAAAGTTTTCACTAGAAAGATTTTGAAATATGAGATATTATGAGGACAAGAAAGAATATGTAAAATTTCCCAAACCCATTTAGCAACTCAACAAATGTTAACAGGGTCTACAATTTTTCAGAATTTTTATAGTAGGATACAGTAATGAGGATACAACTTTCTCTTGTACCATTTCTAGTATCAGATAGCCATTAAGAACATATATGTTAATATGTACTATGCACTTACTATCCGCCACTCACTATAGTAAGAAATTTGAAATAACTATCATTGTTTCATAACAACCTAAGAATTTCCTACTATTACTATACTATTTTACTCCTATTGAAACAGAAAACTTAGGCAACACCACTCAAGGTTACATAGCCAGTAAGTAAAAGAAAAGGAAGAATCTTAATATTCACTTGGGGTAGCAGCCACACACCACACAATACCATTCCCTTGCTCAAACTGGTGAAAAAGAGAGATTTAAAATATTTCATGTGGAAAACAGAATATTACTCTGCCATAAAAGGAACGCCTTTGGATCAGTTCTAATGAGGTGGATGAACCTAGAACCTATTATACAGAGTGAAGTAAGGCAGAAAGAGAAAGCTAAGTACTGTATTCTAACACACATATATATGGAACCTAAAACAATGGTACTGAAGAATTTACTTACAGGGCAGCAATGGAGAAACAGAGAATAGACTTATGGACATGGGGAGAGGGAAGGAGAGGGTGAGATGTGTGGAAAGAGTAACAGGGAAACTTACACTACCATATGTAAATTAGATAGCCAACAGGAATCTGCTGCATGGCTAAGAAACTCAAACAGGGGCTCTGTACCAATCTAGAGGGGTGGGATGGGGAGGGAAATGGGAGGGAAGTTCAAAAGGGAGAGGATGTACGTATACCTATAGTAGATTAATGTTGTGGTTCTAGAGAAAAGAACAATATTCTGTAAAGTAATTATCCTTCAATAAAAAAATAAATTAAAAAATTTCATGTTGATAAAGTAATGTCATCTTTGGAACCCAAGCAGGGGGTTAATATGCGTTAGGTAACTGCAGAAGAAAGATTACAGACCCATGAAAACATATTACGGTATTTTCTGTTTTTGTATATAAGTGAAAAAAAATCCACTTAGGAATATGGATACATATTCACACTGCTGATGAAATCGTAAGTTGGTATAACCTTGAGAATTAACACTGAAGTACATATTATATTTCAAAATGTGCATGACCTTTGACTCAGCATCCTGGTTTGAAGTTTAGGCTACAGAAATAAAAACTGAAAGGTTTACTTGTAAAGCTACTTTCTTTTGTACTGTAGTAATGAAATAATGTCAACATCAATGCTAATTAACAGTCAGATCAGTCACTCAGTCGTGTCTGACTCTGCAACCGCATGGAGTGCAGCACGCCAGGCTTCCCTGTCCATCACCAACTCATGGAGCTTACTCAACTCATGTCCATCAAGTCAGTGATGCCACTCAACCATCTCATCCTCTGTCGTTCCCGTCTCCTCCCGCCTTCAATCTTTCCCAGCATCAGGGTCTTTTCTAATGAGTCAGTTCTTTGCATCAGGTGGCCAAAGTATTACAGCTTCAGCATCATTCTTAGCAACGAATATTCAGGACTGATCTCCTTTAGCATGGACTGGTTGCATCTCCTTGCAGTCCAAGGGACTCTCAAGAGTCTTCTCCAACACCACAGTTCAAAAGCATCAAATCTTTGGCGCTTAGCTTTCTTTATTGTCCAGCTCTCACATCTTTACATAACTAATAGAAAAACCATGGCTTTGACTAGATGGATCTTTGTTGACAAAGTAATGTCCCTGCTTTTTAATATGCTGTCTAGGTGGGTCACAGCTTTTCTTCCAAAGAGCAAGCGTCTTTTAATATCATGGCTGCAGTCACCATCTGCAGTGATTTTAGAGCCCAGGAAAATAAAGTCTCACTGTTTCCATTGTATCCCCATCTATTTGCCATGAAGTGATGGGACCGGATGCCATTCAGTTTTCTGAATGCTAAGTTTTAAGCCAGCATTTTCGCTCTACTCTTTCACTTTCATCAAGAGGCTCCTTAGTTCCTCTTCGCTTTTTGCCATGAGGGTGATGTCATTTTTCTATCTGAGGTTATTGATATTTCCCACAATCTTGATTCCAGCTTGTGCTTCAACCATCCCGGCATTCTGCATTTAACTTAAATAAGCAGGGTGACAATACACAGCCTTGATGTACTCCTTTCCCAATTTGGAACCAGTCTGTTGTTCCATATACAGTTTTAACTGTTGCTTCTTGACCTGCATACAGATTTCTCAGGAGGCAGGTAAGGGGGTCTGGGATTCCCATCTCTTTAGGAATTTTCCACAGTTTGTTGTGATCCACACAGTCAAAGGCTTTAGCGTAGTCAATAAAACAGAAGTATGTATTTTCCTCGAATTATTTTGCTTTCTCTATGATCCAACAAATGTTGGCAATTTGATCTCTGAATCCTGTGCCTTTTCTAAATCCAGCTTGAACATCTGGAAGTTCTTGGTTCATGTACTGTTGAAGCCTTGCTTGGAGAATTTTGAGCATTACCTTGCTAGCACGTGAAATGAATGCAATTGTGCAGCAGTTTGAATAATCTTTGGCATTGCCGTTCTTTGGTACTGAAAACAAAACTGACCTTTTCCAGTCCTGTGGCCACTGATGAGTTCTCCAATTTTGCTGGCATATTGTGTGTGGCAGTTTCACAGCATCATCTTTTAGGATTTGAAATAGCTCAGGGAGAATTCCATCACCTCCACTAGCTTTGTTCATAGTGATGCTACCTAAAGCCCACTTGACTTTGGACTCTACAATGTTTGGCTCTAGGTGAGTGATCACACTGTCATGGTTATCTGGGTCATTAAGATCTTTTTTGGATAGTTTCTTTGTGTATTCTTGCCACCTTTTCTTAGTATCTTCTGCTTCTGTTAGGTCCACACCGTTTCTGTCCTTTATTGTGCCCATCTTTGCGTAACATGTTCCCTTGGTAATCTCTATTTTCTTGAAGAGATCTCTAGTTTTTTCCGTTCTTTTCTTTTCCTCTATTTCTTTGCACTGATCAGTTAGGAAAGCTTTCTTATCTCTCCCTGCTATTCTTTGGGAACTCTGCATTCAGATAGGTTTAGCTTTCCTTTTCTCCTTTGCTTCTCTTCTTTTCTCAGCTATTTGTAAGTCCTCTTCAGACAACTATTTTGCCTTTTGAATTTCTTTTTCTTGGGGATGGTTTTGATCACTGCGTCCTGTACAATGTCATGAACCTCCATCCATAGTTCTTTAGGCACTCTATCAGATCTAATCCCTCAAATCTGTTTGTCACTTCCACTGTATAACTGTAAGGGATTTGATTTAGGTCATACCTGAATGGTCTAGTGGTTTTCCCTAGTTTATTCAATTTAAGTCTGAATTTGGCATTAAGAAGTTCATGATCTGAGCCACAGTCAGCTCCCGGTCTTGTTTTTGCTGACTGCATAGAGCTTCTCCATCTTTGGCTGAAAAGAATATAATCAATATGACTTTGGTATCGACCATCTGGTGATGTTCATGTGTAGAGAAACAATAAATTAATCCTACTGGTGTCACAGAGGAATGTTATGGAGGTACTTTGTAATTAGATAAATTTTTTATTGTAATGACAGGTTATCCACGATAAATGATCAAATGACTTTTCTTAAAAATGCAAACCAATACTACAATTATATTTTGTAATCTAATGTGTATGTATTATATAATAGTATATAGGCTTGCTTTCATTTTTAGTTTTTTTAGTAGTGGGATTATAGGCTAGTTTTACTTGCTGGGTACATAAAAAAAAAATCTAGGCAGCATTTATTGAAAAAAATTGGAGGTACTTATATAAATGTATTTTACTTAGTGCTTTAAAACTGGACTTAGCATAAATGTTCAGTACACAAAGGAATGCTGATTACAGGCTAGGATTTCCTTAAGTTCCTGACTCTCATTTAGATAAGTAAAACTACAATGAACCAGAAAGGACACTTATTAAAGAACATATATCTCCCAAAACTTCACTGTTAAAAGAGATTTGATCGTAGAGGACAAGCAAAATTACCAATGAGACTGTCCCTTCCCCTTTTTTGGGAGGAGGTAAAGAAAATGCAACCTAGAAAGTCCAGTTCCCAAATTACTGTAAGACCTGAGGTAAGTTAGTCACATAACCTTAATCTTATTTTTTTAAACCTTCTTAATCTTCACTGTTTTCATCTAAAACCCCTGAAGCTATTAATAATTCCTAAGGTTCCTGTAAGAATTCGTGAAGAAGCTTGGTAAATTGATGAGCAATAAAAATGAGAAGATATGTATTACCTTCAACATGGCTTGAAACCAAGTCAGGCTTACCTGCATCACCGAACATCAGCAAGGCAGCAGCGATTGCTCCGTCCATAGTGCTTGTTGAGTCAATCAACTGACAAAATGAGAAAAGACTGTTTTAAAAATGACTTTAAGAATTATTTTACAAACTTACCAAATATTTAAGAACCAACATATTAAATATACAACAAGTGGAGAAACAGCTACATAATAGCTTAAGTTCAGTAAGTCAGATGATAAATTTTCAGAATATCTAGTTTGTCTAAAAAGTCTAAATTTATCTATCTTAAAATTTAATGGATTTACTTATCACCATTATAAAAGAAAAAATAAAACATAGTCAACATATGTACAGTATATGAAAGGTTTTTGTTATTTTAATGGTAAGACTGGGCCCTGAAGTCTCAAAAACTTCATGAGTGAGTCCAGGTACTGGGTGTGTGAGAGAGAGAGAGAGAGAGAAAGGGAGGGGAAAGGAAGGGAAAGGAAGAGAGGGAGAGGGGAAAGGAGGGAGGGAAGGAAGGACAGGCACTGACAGGCGTTTAAAATAAACTCTGGAATTATTTTTTAAATCTAGTACTTCTCAAGTGGGATAAAGGACTCTTGAAATATGCTCCATTTCTAAATTGCTAAAAATTAAATTGCCTGAATTTATTCAAGAACTTATTAATATATGGCTTACATAATTCACACTTTCAGATTTCAGAACTCCCAAACTTTTCTCTTGCCATAGTTTCCTGTACTTCCAATGAGTTATTTGTTTTAAAAAGATCTTAATTTTAAAAATAAGCTATTTTTGTATTAAATTAAAAGCCTCAAAACAAAAAAATAATGCTCTTTTCTATACTAGTTTTCTTCCTCTTGGATCCTCCGATATCTTGTAAGGCTTTCCTCATTTTCAAAATAGACGAAGCATATTCTTACCAAGTACAGGACTAAGTTTATATTTCATAGCTCCTTGAATTATTTTATATGGGTCTGAAAGCCTCTGAAGAGTGATTTATAAATGTTATCTTTAAATCTTTTAAAATGATGGGAGATCACTTGAAATCCAGATTAGTTCAAGGGAGTGCTTTGCTTTGGAGCAAGCATTACACTAAATTCCCCAAATTTCAAATACTAGTGAAATAAACACACAAAGTTCATGAAGCAATTCAACTTTACCACTGTAATTATAAAATTAGAGATAAATGCTTCTATAGGGAATAAATCCCCTTGAACTACATGAAAAATTGGCACTCAAGCTAAAGTATTTTTAAACTGCGATTTATGTTGAATATTTTAATGCTCCACCACGTTTATTATGTTGAATGTTCTTTCCAGTACTTGCAGTGCTGCTACTAGAGCTACATTCTCTCCTTCCTTTCCTGTGGGGAAAAAACCCATCAGGAAGCAAGTAACACTACTTGCAGGGGAAAAGTAGACTCAAGATACCATTCAAGTTTCATTGAGCTAACAGTAGGAAGGTTATCAGAATGATTTGGGAAAAAAGAAAGACTCATATTAAATGTATCAGAGAACAAAGGAAATAATATAAACTTAAAAGAGTTCAAATTAGCAGGCCTAGATCACTTCTATTTCAGACATGTTCTGTTTGACTTGAATGGTATTTTTGGTTTTGTCTTTCTTTAGTTACCATAAAAAGGAATGAAATATGATACAACATGAATGAAGTTCAAAACTGTATACTAAGCGCAGGAAGTCAATTATAAAAGATCACACTGGGATTTTCCTGGTGGTCCAGGGGTGAAGACTGTGCTTCCACTGCAGGAGGCACTGGTTCAATCCCTCCTTGGGGAAACAAAGGTCCTAAATGCTGTACGATCAAAAAAGAGAAAAAACCACATATGATATGTTCCCACTGACTTGAAATGTCCATAACTGGCAAATCTATAGACAGAGATTTAGTGGTTGGCTACAGAAGGGAAATGGGGAGTGACTGCTAATAGGTACAAGGTTTCTTTTTGGAATGATTAAAATGTTTTAAAATTAGATTATGGTGATGGTTGTACAAACTCAAAAAACCTTCACAACCTATGTGAGATGCAGAGAGGCTCAAGTTATTATATTACTTATAGGTGAATAAACCTCACCTAATGTAAGATTCAAGGAATAAATCTCTGGCATCTGCCTTTATTATTAAATGAATTATCTTCAAACATGTTTTTAGAAAAATGACTACTGAATATAGCACTGGATACAGGAGACATTTTAAGCATCATTACAATTGTAATAACCAATTTCTAGAAAGGGGTATAACCTTAAGTAAATCATTGTCACTTCTTTGTGGAAAAAGTTCCTTCAAGGTCTGAAGTTTAGCATCTTTAAGGTCTTCCAATTCTGAAAGGTCTTCCAATTCTGAAATATCATTATTATTTCTAGTGGCCATGGTAGGAAGGCCTTGGGACTCCTCATCTTCAGATGGCTCAGAACTAAAAATATTTTCGGAGGGAAAAAAAACAGTATTTTAATGTATTACTAATGTTATCTCATTACAGTTGTATATACGTGTACATATAAAATACATTTGCAGTTCTTTTCAATAATAAATGTTATCTGTATCTATCAAAGAATAAAACAAGTTGTTTTTTTTCCACTTCAGTACAGTTGTGCATATAAATCTACATTCCGAAAGTTAGCATACTTTGAACATATTTCAAATTCTCTGGGCTAGGATAGAAAAGAACAGCAAAAACTTGAAGCATTTCATTAATATACTCATCCACTGCATACCCATCTTCTCTTTCCTACTTTTTTTACCTGTACTCTGAATAAAAGATGGGTGTTGTCATGTTGTTCCTGAAAAATTATCATGCATACACTAATAAAAATATAAAAGGATATTCATGGTCTACTAGGTGATCAGAATCAAAATGGTAAAATCAAAATGGTCCATTCAATATCAGACTGTCTACCAAGAACAAAACTCTTCTTTAGCAGACAAGGAGCATTTGTTTTACACAAGGCTTCATCCAACAGCGACTAACTTTAATCTCATTACATTTCAGTTCATATGTTTATCTTATATAAAAGACACTGTGAGCCAAATTTCATTCATGTTTCTCCCAAACAATAGAATTCATTTTGAAATTTTGATTTTCTACCACAGTAAGCATTCTGAAGATCAGAAAGCAGAAGTATAACAAGTGGGTAGAAGTTACAGAGATCAGAGAAAGAAATATAGTCAAGTATATTCCTAGTGCGAGAGAAAGCAGACTTTGTTATGCAGCTAGTTCTGTTCTTGGACAGCTCTTTTAGACACATATCCAGGACCTGCATTTTAGTAACTTCTCTTTACTTAGTTTAGCTGCACCTGTTAGGGTACCAATTATGCCGAAGAATCTCCTGAAACACATAGAAATGGACTGTGAAGGACCAGAAGTATGTATTTTAACAAACTTCTGGATTGACTTCTTGAATCTTGCTCTGAAAAACTGCTCTAAAGTAACAAGATTAAATAAATCTTTCCTTTAATGAAGACAATTACACGTATCTCCATTACACTCAGATTTCTCATTTCTTACATACTCAACTCTAAATTTTCACTCTGACTTACTACATTCACACTCCCCAACTGGTTTTTCCCTGAGTTCACTGAGAAAATGAAGCTTTCAGATTGGAATCCTTTTACAATTTTTGCACTGCATAACCACTTTAAATGTCCTTACTCGTCTGACCATCACAGCCTTAAACTAGTGATCAGATTCGCCACCATTCTGTGGGACAAACTCATGTGCCTCTTGATGTAGGAAGTTTTCATGCTGACAATGAATCTTATCAAGCCTTCGACTTAATGTCCAATTTATAGGAGATATAAAAGACAGAGAAATAAATTCAGTACAATCATGAAGAAGCAACCAGAAAAGTCTATTTTGTCTAGAAGACTCGATTTCTTCAGTAAGTTAAAATGCTTTAAAAAGAGGAGGGCAGTGTATTATCTTAAGATCAAAGGATAGTTAATTAAGAGTCAGGATAGTCAAATGTTCCTTATTTGGACTCTGGTTTGAAAAACTAGCTACAAAACACATAAATCTAAATATAAACTGGGAATTATATGATGTAGAGAACTGCTCACTGAGAGTAGTATTTATGTAAGTGGAATACATAACAAGTACTAAGGGGAGAATCGTTGGGGTATCTATTATTTACTTTAAAACACTCCAGCTAATAAAAAAAATAATGCAACCGGAAAATAGTAACAATTGTTAAATGTAGGTGGTGTATATATATACATATTAATTATTATTTTCGAGTATGACCAAAGCTTTAAAAATAAAAGAAAAATCTCAAAGAACAAGAATGACCACTTTGTGTTCTTTTATCTGGTCTCCGATCAAGTTATTTATTCACTTCTGTTTACACCACACTCTGGGCTAAGTGATCCCAGGCCTAATGTCCACAGGAATTAACTGTCTACTATCTTCTCTCCTGAACCTATCTCTTTAAGCTCTTCCCTCCAAGCCTATGTGTTCAAGATTGCATTTTTATTTCCTCATATCTTATATGGTTCTCAACTTACTGTTATGTATCTTCTGCCCCACTGCCTCAGAGTAATGGTTCTAAGGGCAATAATATCCTCTACAATGTCAAATGTGATTTAAAACAATAACAAACCCCCTAAATCTTTCATTGGTTTTCTGTTCTTCTGTGGTCTCAAACACTGTTGTTCTTTGAAAATGCAGCCCCACCCCCAACCCTCATCCCTGGGTACTGCAGTAGCATTACTTCTGATTTTCCCTTTATCTCTTAGCCTGTCCTTAATCTGTATAGAAGGCTTTCTTCCTTTGTTTAGTTTTTTGAATTCCAGTATTATCCAGGATTCTATCTTCAGCTCCTTCTTATCTACTGATGTTTCCTGAGAGATTTCCATCAATTAATTGGCAGAGTTTCTACTATCTCTATCAGTTCAGTTCAGTCACTCAGTCAAGCCCAACTCTTTGCGACTGCATGGACTGCAGCATGCCAGGCCTCCCTGTCCATCACCAACTCCTGGAGTTTACTCAAACTTATATCCATTGAGTTGTTGATGCCATCCAATCATCTCATCCTCTGTCCTTACCTTCTCCTCCCGCCTTCAATCTTTCCCACAATCAGGCTCTTTTCAAATGAGTCAGCTCTTTGCATCAGGTGGCCAAAGTATTGACGTTTCAGCTTCAACATCAGTCCTTTCAAATGAATATTCAGAACTGATTTCCTTTAGGATGAACTGGCTGGATCTTCAAGCATTCCAAGAGAATCTCAAGAGTCTTCTCCAACATTTCAGATCAAAAGCATCAATTCTTTGGTGCTCAGCATTCTTTATAGTCCAACTCTCATATCCATACATGACTACTAGAAAACTATAGCCTTGACTAGACAGACCTTTGCTGGCAAAGTAATATCTCTGCTTTTTAATATGCTGTCTAGGTTGGTCATAACTTTTCTTCCAAGGAGTAAGTGTCTTTTCATTTCATGGCTGCAGTCACCATCTGCATTTTTGGAGCCCCAAAAAGTAAAGTCTGCCACTGTTTATACTGTTTCCCCTTCTATTTGCCATCAAGTGGTGGGATTGGATGCCATGATTTTAGTTTTCTGAATGTTGAGCTTTAAACCAACTTTTTCACTCTCTTTTCACTTTCATTAAGAGGCCCTTTAGTTCTTCTTCACTTTCTGCCATAAGGGTGGTCTCATCTGCTTATCTGAGGTTACTGATATTTATCCCAGCAATCTTGATTCCAGCTTGTGCTTCCTCCAGTCCAGCATTTCTCATGATGCACTCTGCATATAAGTTAAATAAGTAGGGTGACAATATACAGCCTAGACTACTTCTTCCCAATTTGGAATCAGTCCACTGTTCCATTTTTAACTATTGTTTCTTGGCTTGCATAAGATTTCTCAAGAGGCAGGGCAGGTGGTCTGGTATTTCCATCTCTTTCAGAATTTTCCAAAGTTTATTGTGATTCACATAGTCAAAGGTTTTGACATAGACAATAAAGCAGAAATAGGTTTTTTTGGAACTCTCTTGCTTTTTTGATGATCCAGCAGATGTTGGCAATTTGATCTCTGGTTCCTCTGCCTTTTCTAAAACCAGCTTGAACATCTGGAAGTTCACAGTTCACATATTGTTGAAGCCTGGCTTGGAGAATTTTGAGCATTACTTTATTAGTATGTGAGATGAGTGCAACTGTGCAGTAGTTTGAGCATTCTTTGGCAGTGCCTTTCTTAGGGATTGGAATGAAAACTGACCTTTTCCTGTCCTGTGGCCACTGCTGAGTTTTCCAAATTTGCTGGCATATTGAGTGTGGCACTTTCACAGCATCATCTTTCAGGATTTGAAATAGTTCAGCTGGAATTCCATCACCTCCACTAGCTTTGTTCATACTGATACTTCCTAAGGTCCACTTGAATTCACACTCTAGGATGTCTGGGTCTAGGTAAGTGATCACACCATCGTGATTATCTGGGTTGTGAAGATCTTTTTTGTATAGTTCTTCTGTGTATTTTTGCCACCTCTTCTTAATATCTTCCGCTTCTATTAGGTCCATACCATTTCTGTCCTTCATTGAGCCCATCTTTGCATGAAAAGTTCCCTTGGTATCTCTAATTTTCTTGAAGAGATCTCTAGTCTTTCCCATTCTGTTGTTTTCCTCTATTTCTTTGCACTGATCACTGAGGAAGGCTTTCTTATCTCTCCTTACTATTCTTTGGAACTCTGCATTCAAACGGGTATATCTTTCCTTTCCTCCTTTGCTTTTTGCTTCTCTTCTTTTCACAGCTATTTGTAAGCCCTCCTGAGACAGTCATATTGCTTTTTTTCATTTCTTTTTCTTGGGGACGGTCTTTATCCCAGTCTCCTGTACAATGTGAGGAACCATGCCTATAGTTCATCAGGCACTCTATCAGATCTAGTCCCTTAAATCCCATAGCTCCACCCATGAACAGAAAATTGCATTAAAGATTTACTGAACATGGCCCGCTCATCAGAACAAGACCTAGTTTCCTTCTCAGTCAGTCTCTCCCATCAGGAAGCTTCCATAAGCCTCTTTTCCTTCTCCATCAGAGGGCAGACAGATTGAAAACCACAATCACATGAAACTAAAAAATCTAATCACATGGATTAGATTGTGTAATCATGAAACCTTGCCTAACTCAATGAAACTGTGAGCCATGCCACGCAGGTCCACCCAAGAGGGAAGGGTCATGGTGGCAAGTTCTGACAAAATGTGGTCCACTGGAGAACGGAATGGCAAACCACTTCAGTATTCTTGCCTTGAGAACCCCATGAACAGCATGAAAAGGCAAAAAGATAGGACACTGAAAGATGAACTCCCCAGGTCAGTAGGTGCTCAATATGCTACTCGAGATCAGTGGAGAAATAACTCCAAAAAGAATGAAGAGACAGAGCCAAAGCAAAAACACCACGCAGTTGTGGATGTGACTTGTGATGGAAGCGAGGTCCGATATTGTGAAGAGCAATATTGCATAGGAACCTGGAATGTTAGGTCCATAAATCAAGGCAAATTGGAAGTGGTCAAACAGATGACAAAAGTGAACGCTGACATTTTAGGAATCAGCAAACTAAAATGGACTGGAATGGGTGAATTTAACTCAGATGTCCATTATATATACTACTCTGGGCAAGAATCCCTTAGAAGAAATGGAGTAGCTATCACTGTCAACAAAAGAGCCTGAAATGCAGTACTTGGATGCCATCTCAAAAATGAAAGAATGATCTCTGTTCGTTTCCAAGGCAAGCCATTCAATATCACAGTAATTCAAGTCTACGCCCTGATCAGTAATGCTGAAGAAGTTGAAGTTGAATGGTTGTATTAAGACCTTCAAGACCTAGAACTAACACCCAAAAATGATGTCCTTTTCATTATGCAAAAGTAAGAAGTCAAGAAATACCTGGAGTAACACCAAGCAAATTTGGCATTGGAGTACAGAATGAAGCAGGGCAAAGGCTAATAGAGTTTTGCCAAGAGAATGCACTGTCATAGCAAACGCCCTCTTCCAACAACACAAGAGAAGACTCTACATGTGGACATCACCAGATGGTCAACACTGAAATCAGGTCAATTATACAATGTGCAGCCAAAGATGGAGAAGCTCTATACAGTCAGCAAAAAGAAGACTGGGAGCAGACTGTGGCTCTGATCATGAAGTCCTTATTGCCAAATTCAGACTTAAATTGAAGAAAGTAGGGAAAACCACTAGACCATTTAGGTATGACCTATATCACATCCCTTTTGATTATACAGTGGAAGTGAGAAATAGATTCAAGGGACTAGATCTGATACACAGAGAGCCTGATGAGCTATGGTCAGAGGTTAGCAACACTGTACAGGAGACAGGGAGCAAGACCATCCCCAAGAAATAAAATTCTGTCCATCAGTGATTCTCAAAGGGAGGCTGCTTTCCCCTGAGAGGACATTGGCAGTGGCTGGAGACATTTTTGACTGTCTTGCCTAGTGAGGTGCTATGAGCATTTAACTGGCAGAGGTCAGGCGTTCGGCTAAACATTCTACAGCACAAAGGGCAGCCCCTCATAACAAAGAACAACCTGGCCCAAAATGCCACCAGTGCCAAGGTTAAGAAACCCTGGTAATTAAAAAGGCCCATGCATTGATTGTAACTGACTGTAACTATGGCAAACAGTGCAATACCAAAGAGTTGTGAAAAACAATAAGGATTTTTATGAGCTTACTCGATTTCCAGGATATATATACATACTGCTAAGTTAATAAATCTCATCCATGACAGAGAATGAGATGGCTGATGGCATCACCGACTCAATGCACTTGAGTTCGAGCAAGGTCCAGGAGTTGGTGGACAGGGGAGCCTGGAGTGCTGCAGTCCATAGGATCACAAACAGTTGGACGTGACTGACAGACTGAACTGAAGTTAATAAACCAAGGAATAAATGTACACATACATCTGTACATACATATTATTTATTCATACACAGCACAAGATACAGAGTGCTAACTTCTGTGTAGCAAAGAAGAAAAAAAAGACACATAAAAAAACCAAAGTATGACGAAAAACGAACTGGTCAGCTCTGAGGTGGGAGAAGGAAGCACTGGTAGAAGGGACAGGAAGTTAATACTTCTCTGTGCTTAGTCGCTCAGTCGTGTCCAACTCTCTCCAGCCCCATGGACTGCAGCCTGCCAGGCTCCTCTGTCCATGGGATTTTCCAGGCAAGAATACTGGAGTGGGTTGTCATTTCCTACTTCACTTCTTCTCTAAGCACATTCTATGTTGAGTTTTGACTTTTGGAACCATGTCAATATTTTAAATATTTGAAGGTAAAATTTTTTCTAAAAAGGGACAAGGGGAAAAACCCTAAAAGGAACACAAACAAAAATTAACATACTGAACTACACTTAAAGTGAATAACAAAGAAATATTTCAATAAATAATCTAAGTACTGTAACCATACACCTTCACCTAAAGACAACATAAAACTTACAAATCTTAAACTCTTAGTGGGCTTAATAGTCAAGCAGTATGACAACAGCAATTCTGAAACTATTATATGTACACTGGGTGACTGAACAAATTAGCAAATATAATGATACTGGTAGAAACAGAGTTCTCACTATCAGAGAAGGAAATACAGAGGAGAGGCAAGGGAGAGAGTCTTAAAGTGTTAGGTCAGAATAAAATATATTATTACAAGCTTATGATTTTAAAAGCAACAACAAAAACCCCACAACATTCTCTCTCATATCCTAGCCCATTCTTGCTGCAAGGGCAATGACAATCCCGTTTCACCCAACAGCAAAGGAAGAACACACATCATCCCCAGATTTCCAAATGCCATTCCTTTAAAAAGGTGCTACTTGAAGAAATGGTGAATTCTAACTTCAGGCTTGAGAATTCAACTTTGGCCCAATAATTCAGTTCAGTTCAGTCGCTCAGTCGTGTCTGACTCTTTGCAACCCCATGAGCAAGCCTCCCTGTCCATCACCAACTCACGGAGTCCACCCAAACCCATGTCCATTGAGTCGGTGATTTTATCCCACCATCTCATCCTCTGGCGTCCCCTTTCCTCCTGCTCTCAATCTTTCCCAGCTTCAGGGTCTTTTCCAATAAGTCAGTTCTTTCCATCAGGTGGCTAAAGTATTGGAGTTTCAACTTCAACATCAGTCCTTCCAATAAATATTCAGGACTGATTTCCTTTAGGATGGACTGGTTGGATCTCCTTGCTGTCCAAGGGACTCTCAAGAGTCTTCTCCAACACCACAGTTCAAAAGCATCAATTCTTCAGCGCTCAGCTTTCTTTATAGTCCAACTCTCACATCCATACGTGACCACTGGAAAAACCACAGCCTTGACTAGATGGACCTTTGTTGGCAAAGTAATGTCTCAGCTTTTTAATATGCTGTCTAGGTTGGTCATAACTTTCCTTCCAAGAAAGTAAGCGTCTTTTAATTTCATGGATGCAATCACCATCTGCAATGATTTTGGGGCCCCCCAAAATTAACTCTGTCACTGTTGCCCCATGAGGTTTTGCCATGAAGTGATGGGACTCACTACTTTCTCCCTGAACAGGCATAATACCACTAAAGGTCACTAAGCAGGATATTCCTAATGCCCCTCCTACCATATTCACATCTCTGCTCTAGCATCATCTACTTAATGAAGTTTTTTCCAACCATGTACTTTATCCTTGGCCCTTAACCCTGGCCCCAAACCCTGTACCCCCTCCCCCCACCCTTTGCCCATTATTATTTGGCATACTGCATTTTTTATTTATTTACTACATTTCTATCTATCATACAAGCTCTGTACTAGCTCACTGAATATGTCCCCAGATTTAAGAACAAATCAGGAAGTAGTTACAAATGACCAAAGGTATTTATTAATATAAACTCCCTATCTATGGAGAATGAAAAGATTAAATATTTACTCTCACGGAACTTTTTTACTGAAAATCAGAACCGAGGGAATTCCCTGGTGGTGCATTACTGAGGACTCCGGTTTTACTGCTGTGTCCTGGGCTCAATCCCTGATTCAGGAACTAAGAACCCACAAGCCAACTTGTGAGGTCAAAAAAAAAAAAAGAGAGAGAAAATCAGTCATCCAGAATCAATCTCTCTCACACACACATACACACAAACATGTACATACACACACATTTATCGTTTATGTCTCTCTGTTAGGAAAAAATGACCAAGATGCAGTCAAGAAAGGGAAAAATGCAGGGTGGAAATCATAAAAAGTTTTCAAGATAAGATAATTTTTCCTAAAAAAAAAAAAGATAAATAAATAAAAGGGTTTATACATGCAAATATAATGAACCTATTAAGTTGCTTACACTATAATCACCGTGTCTTTGTTGAATTTTTTCTCTTGAACTGTAGTGGAGCAATTTGGGGAAACAACATCTTCACTATCAGAAGACAAATCAATGTACTGAATCCCTCTTTGATTCTTGAAATATGATATACTTGCTTTTCTGTCATTTTCCGGAGTTTCTGGAACACTAGAATCTTCTGCAAAAGACAAAAAGCAGAAAGGCATTTTGAGCAACCTGAAAATAAGCCAAATTTTGTTTGTGCAAATCTGTCTTAACACAATCATGTGCCAAAAATCTTTAGCTTCATTCACGGTTCCATCTTAAACCAAAGTGAAGCTGCTCAGTCGTGTCCGACTCTCTGCAACCCCATGAAGCCTACCAGGCTTCTCCGTCCATGGGATTTTCCAGGCCAGAGTACTGGAGTGGGTTGCCGTTTCCTTCTCCAATCTTAAACCAAAATCCCTTCTAATTTTTAAAGAAAAAATTAATAGCCAACCAGTGCTGGCATTAAATGATTTTCCACTTCAGAGGTTACTTATTAGCAAGACCTTAGTGGACACTGCAACACATAGGCTTGTATATTTCAACCCTCGTTCCTCCCAGATTCTCCTTCCTAGTATTCAGTTCTTGCCTAAGAGAACACGGACATTAGAGCCCGAAAGACTTGAACTTCAATCCCATCTCTCAGCCAAGTTACTTAATCTAAACCTCAGTGTCCTCTATAAAACAGAAATGCTAATAATCACAGGGTTAATGTGCACATAAAATTAGAAGATATATATTAAGAATTTAATTTGGTAATTGGCAATATCCAACATACCCTAGCTTTATGCAAATATTGGTGTTATGGGTCAAATTATGTCCCCTCCATAATTCCTATGCTAACTAGAGAAGGAAGACATGAAGAACCCCAGGGTCAGTAGAAGGAAAGAAATCTTAAAAATTAGGGCAGAAATAAATGCAAAAGAAACAAAAGAGACCATAGCAAAAATCAACAAAGCTAAAAGCTGGTTTTTTGAAAAGGTATAAATAAAATTGACAAACTGTTAGTCAGACTTATCAAGAAACAAAGGGAGAAGAACCAAATTAACAAAATTAGAAATGAAAATGGAGAGATCACAACAGACAACTCTGAAATACAAAGGATCATAAGAGACTACTACCAGCAGCTATATGACAATAAAATGAACAACTTGGAAGAAATGGACAAATTCTTAGAAAAGTATAACTTTCTAAAACTGAACCAGGAAGAAATAGAAGATCTTAACAGACCCATCACAAGCATGGAAATCGAAACTGTAATCAGAAATCTCCCAGCAAACAAAAGCCCAGGACCAGATGGCTTCACAGCTAAATTCTACCAAAAATTGAGAGAAGAGCGAACACCTATCTTATTCAAACTCTTCCAGAAAATTGCAGAAGAAGGTAAACTTCCAAACTCATTCTATGAAGCCACCATCACTCTAATACCAAAACCAGACAAAGATGCCACAAAAAAAGAAAACTACAGGCCAATATCACTGATGAACATAGATGCAAAAATCCTTAACAAAATTCTAGCAAACAGAATCCAACAACACATTAAAAACATCATACATCATGACCAAGTGGGCTTTATCCCAGGAATGCAAGGATTCTTTAATATCTGCAAATCAATGTAATACACCACATTAACAAATTGAAAGATAAAAACCATATGATTATCTCAACAGATGCAGAAAAAGCCTTTGACAAAATCCAACATCCATTTATGATTAAAACTCCAGAAAGCAGGATTAGAAGGAACATACCTCAACATAATAAAAGCTATATATGACAAACCCCCAGCAAACATTATCCTCAATGGTGAAAAATTGAAAGCATTTCCCTTAAAGTCAGGAACAAGACAAGGGTGCCCACTCTTACCACTACTATTCAACATAGTTTTGGAAGTGTTGGCCACAGCAATCAGGGCAGAAAAAGAAATAAAAGGAATCTAGATAGGTAAAGAAGTAAAACTCTCACTGTTTGCAGATGACATGATCCTCTACATAGAAAACCCTAAAGACTCTACCAGAAAATTACTAGAGCTAATCAATGAATACAGTAAAGTTGTAGGATATAAAATTAACACACAGAAATCCCTTGCAGTCCTATAGACTAACAATGTGAAAACAGAAAGAGAAATTAAGGAAACAATACCATTCACCATTGCAACAAAAAGAACAAAATACTTAAGAGTATATCTACCTAAAGAAACAAAAGACCTATACATAGAAAACTATAAAACACTGATGAAATAAATCAAAGAGGACACAAATAGATGGAGAAATATACCATGTTCATGGATTGGAAGAATTAATATTATGAAAATGACTATACTATCCAAAGCAATCTATAGATTCAATGCAATCCCTATCAAACTACCAACGGTATTTTTCACAGAACTAGAACAAATAATTTCACAATTTGTATGGAAATACAAAAAACCTCGAAGAGCCAAAGCAATCTTGAAAAAGAAGAATGGAACTGGAGGAATCAACCTGCCTGACATCAGGCTCTACTACAAAGCCACAGTCATCAAGACAGTATGGTACTGGCACAAAGACAGAAATATAGATCAATGGAACAGAATAGAAAGCCCAGAGATAAATCCATGTACCTATGGACACCTTAACTTCGACAAAGGAGGCAAGGATATACAATGGAAAAAAGACAATCTCTTTAACAAGTGGTGGTGGGAAAACTGGTCAACCACTTGTAAAAGAATGAAACTAGAACACTTTCTAACACCACACACAAAATTAACTCAAAATGGATTAAGGATCTAAATGTAAGACCAGAAACTATAAAACTCCTAGAGGAGAATATAGGCAAAACACTCTCCGACATAAATCACAGCAGGATCCTCTATGACCCACCTCCCAGAATACTGGAAATAAAAGCAAAAATAAACAAATGGGACCTAATGAAACTTAAAAGCTTTTGCACAACAAAGGAAACTATAGGTAAGGTGAAAAGACAGCCCTCATAATGGGAGAAAATAATAGCAAATGAAGCAACAAAGGATTAATCTCAAAAATATACAAGCAACTCCTGCAGCTCAATTCCAGAAAAATAAGTGACCCAATCAAAAAATGGGCCAAAGAACTAAACAGACATTTCTCCAAAGAAGACATACAGATGGCTAACAAACACATGAAAAGATGTTCAACATCACTCATTATCAGAGAAATGCAAATCAAAACCACAATGAGGTACCATTACACGCCAGTCAGGATGGCTGCTATCCAAAAGTCTACAAGTGATAAATGCTGGAGAGGGTGTGGAGAAAAGGGAACCCTCTTACACTGTTGGTGGGAATGCAAACTAGTACAGCCACTATGGAGAACAGTGTGGAGACTCCTTAAAAAACTGGAAATAGAACTGCCATACGACCCAGCAATCTCACTGCTGGGCATACACACTTAGGAAACCAGAATTGAAAGAGACACGTGCACCCCAATGTTCATCACAGCACTGTTTATAATAGCCAGGACATGGAAGCAACCTAGATGCCCATCAGCAGACGAATGGATAAGGAAGCTATGGTACATATACACAATGGAATATTACTCAGCCATTAAAAAGAATTCATCTGAATCAGTTCTAATGAGATGGATGAAATTGGAGCCCATTATACAGAGGGAAGTAAGCCAGAAAGATAAAGACCAATACAGTATACTAATACATATATATGGAATTTTAAAAGATGGTAATGATAACCCTATATGCAAAACAGAAAAAGAGACACAGATGTACAGAACAGATTTTTGGACTCTGTGGGAGAAGGCGAGGGTGGAATGTTCTGAAAGAACAGCATTGAAACAAGTATACTATCAAGGGTGAAACAGATCGCCAGTCCAGGTTGGATGCATGAGACAAGTGCTCAGGGCTGGTGCACTGGGAAGACCCAAAGGGATAGGATGGAGAGGGAGGCAGGAGGGTGGATTGGGATGGGGAACACATGTAAATCCATGGCTGATTCATGTCAATGTATGGCAAAAACCACTACAATATTGTAAAGTAATTAGCCTCCAACTAATAAAAATAAATGAAAGAAAAATATTAAATTACATTACAACCCCCCCCCCCAAATTCCTATGCTAAAGTTCCCACCCCCATCACCTTAAAATATAACATATTTGGAGATAGGTCCTTTATAGAAGTGGCTAACTTAAAATGAGTTAGTTAGGTTAGTAACCTAATCCAAAATGACTTGACATTCTTCTAAGAGAGAGAAACCAAGGATGTGTGTGCATGGAGGAAAGGCAACATGGGCACACAGTGAGAAGGAGACTGAGGAGAAAGGCCTTACAAGAAACCAAACCCATCAACACCTTGATCTTGGACTTCTAGCCTCCAGATATGGGAGAAAGTAAGTCTGCTCTTTATGTCACTCAGTCTGTGTTTGTTATGGCAGCCCTCACTAATAAAGTCAGCATCACTTGTTTATCCAAAACAGGTGAACATAATATGCTATTGCGGTCTCCTCTCTCCAAGGGCTGAGTTTCAAAATTATTCTCCCTTATATACAGGAGGAGGAATTCCTGATTTAAGGAATTCATATTAAAGTGGTCAGTGTCCTGGTTTAGTGAATATAGCTGTCCTGCATTATCTGGAGGTTTAGGGAGACTGGTTCCAGGACTTTGCACATTCTCAAAATGTGGCAATGTTCAAGTCCCTTAAATAAAATGGTCCTGTATTTTCATATAACATATGCACACAGCTGGATTACTTATAATACCTGATTCATGTAAATTCTAAAGACTTGTAAATACGCATGCGAAAGTTACATAAATAGTTACACTGTGTTTGTGGCAAATTTGTTTTGCTATTTGGAACTTCCTGGAACTTTGCTTTCTGAATATTTCCATTGTAGCTGATCTGTATATGAGAACCCATAGATAGGAGGGCCAATTAATGATACATTTTAAAAAGGAATGATCACATGAAAATTTAACTGAAAAGTACCAATTTAAAAAACAACAGCAGTATCAAGTCCAGAAGTGAAACACATTTTCAATACTTACAATAACCCCAAGGGGACATTGTATCATCATTTTATAGATACACTAAGATTCAGAAGAAGCAACTTGTCCAAAGTCATACAAGGGAAAGTATCAGACCTAAAATCCAAGACCCAGAGTCTAAACTCTGGCATGCTAAAACTCTTGA